GAGTCCTGAACCCTCCGTAACCATGACGCTCGGCTCCTTTTCGTCATGCCTGGCTTATCTGGCTAAGTGGTGGTCAGCTTCGGAACAATGAAGCTTTTCCTCGGCCAGTGATTGACTTTTGACTACGGAGACGACTACAGTCTAATAAACTGTCCTACTGAAGGGACCTGTAAAGTGCCAGTGCTTTGCAAGCCAAATACTTGGCGCGGGATTCCACGGTTCTGTATGACAGGGATCCGCTCATGTAGTTATCGTATTCCCTCCTTGTACCCACCTATGTCAAACCCATGGGACAATGCTGTGAATAAATCTTCTCTGCTGAGCCTTTCAATTTACACAAGCATGCTTGACGGTGATTGATGCCAGAAAGCTGAGGGCCGACGATGAACTAGTGCCTCAGGCTCCTCAGCGCCACGGTCTGCAAAAGCATGAAAGAATTCATAACTCATTGACGTATGGAGTAAAGCTCAGGGTATTCTCTGTCGTGTTACCCCACTTACGGGACACAGCGACTGAAGGTTTATCAGTAGGACAGAACACTATTGGACTGCGGCCAGCTCCATAGGTAACGTGCGACCACTGCTGGCAGAGGAGAAATTTCCTTGGGTCTTAAGACATATCTCAGCGTAGTTACGTATTGAAATGAGACAAACGGTAGAGAGGAGGACGGAAAACAATTAGTGTGCCGGATAGTACGCTAGATGTGGGCGTAATTTACGATGCAATGAACGCCGTGTGAGTTCAGGCGAACGCCATGGAAGGAGCCCAATTCGAACCTTGGCACCACAGGTGTATCAGAAATCAAGTATCAGTGGCCCGTTCTATCCACAGCCTGGAGAAGTGGGCCATTGCGGGTGAGGCGCCGCAAGCAGCTACCATTTCATAGCTTAGAGTCCTCCACCATAAACATTCCCTGTAGGTACGGTTGAGGCGCTAAAGTCTCACACCTTGAACTCGGGGATCATTGTAGCGCACACATAAGGACCCCATCCCCGGTACTTAGGGCAGATTTTTTTCGAACTCGATGCCGTGGCTACCAATTTATTTTTCTTTAGTACAGAAAGAAACATGAGGATAGTAAAAGCTCTGAAACCAGAGGGAACGGTAACACTCTGGACTGGGCAGTGACTCCTTCCCCATAATTATGGAGACATATTGAGTTGTACGATTGGCTGGTAAACACCAATTATCTATTTATAGAACTCTACTTTCTCAGTACTGCCCAATAGTGTTTCGTAACTAGGCGGTAACTCAATTATATCATTCTTAATGAAGGTTAACTTGCCATGAGGGCCTTGGTGGAAATCCGTCGCTATATGAAGAAATGGCTAAAGTACATGTGCAAGTGGCTAACACGAGCACCCGCGCTGCTCCAACCGTGGTCCAAGTCTACGTGTCATTCCCATCGGACGTGGTGGAAGACGGCGACTTAATAGAGGTGCCGGCGGACGACAAGGAGGAGAGGGTGACCTTTGTGCCCAACAAAGAACGGGTCGAATTTCCGGACAGGGTTCTGCGCAACCTCACCAATATTGCTCTGGAACCGGGCGAGAAGAAGACGGTTGAAATGACTCTAAGCCTCAAGGATCTCAGTTACTGGAGGACTTGCCAACAGAATTGGGTCATGCCGGACGGCGACTTTCAAATCTGGGTCGGGCAGAGCTCGCGGGATCTGCCCTTGTGCGGCAAGTATTGAAACTGATACCCCTTCTTTTTTCATTAACCTTCTTTCTGCACATAGAATCTCTCATAGCTATCTATATATATCAGTGCTTGCCCTTGTCCCGTTCAGTTCTGTTTCTCTTATTTATTATTATTCCTAACCCCACTCTCAATTTAATCCTCTGCATTCCGTTTTGAACATATCCAGTGACAGAGGCACCAGTGTATTCTGCACTTGTCCAGCTACTGTTCAATCCTGATAGTCTACCATTCGTCTCCCTCACTCTTGCTAGCGGCCACAAGAGAGTCGTCCTCCTCCTCTTGTTCTTCCTCTGACTGTCCCTGTAACACTGTCTCGGCCGCTCTTGCCTAATATTGGGTATCGAGTTAGTCGCGAATACAGTTCTTAGGGGTCATATCACAGTCCACCCCCTGGGAGGAAGCATGACTGAATCAGGAATCTTACCAACTTCTCGGCATTTGCATCCCGAAGCTTGGGGTCCAAAGTCAGTTGCCTTACTGGACTCGTATCAGTTTCGATTCGCTGTCGGATACCGTGGGTGCTCTCCGCGACAGCATCTTCAATCATCTTGCGGTCAATGAGTCTTTCCATCAGAAGGGTTTCCGAGGCGTAAAGTAGTCGTCTCAACTCACCAACTCGCCTTTGGGACGTTTTTGTGATTGCATCCGTTTTCTAGCATGTGGAAGAACAACGGGTCGGTCTTCTTGAAGCCCAAGGTATGTGCAGGAGTCAGGGAGCAAGTGCAGAGGTATCGCCAGCTTTTTGAACTATTTCTTTTATTCCAGCCTGTGCAGATTCCGAATAATTGCTGAGCTCCTTCTTTTTCTCTTCTACCTCCCCGGGGCTACCAAGTTGACCCATGCTATGGACCAGGTTGAGCCCATTGAGAATGTGATTGAAATCGACCTGGATATACATGTCGGATATGTCTATGTACAGAGAAAAGCTAGCGCCAACTTCCATTGCATATTAATAGGTCACCTGTTGACTGTTAGTTCAGTGCACCAGATCTCATTTTTTTTCAACTGCCGAGTTTCTTACGTTGATGTATTGCTGGCTGAGCTTTTTGCGTTGGGTGAGCTGATTTGACGCGCCTTCTATATATTCTGTAAAGGGCTGCACATGGCTTTTGTTTGCCGAGTCGACTAGGATGGCTACGGTGCTGAAGAAGATAGACAACCTTGCGACCTGGTCCTTAAGTTGGATCAAGAAGGCAATGCAGTTACGCAACACCCTTCGGACCTCTTCCTAGAACGGGGTTAGAGTCCGGCATCCTAACAAGCCGATCTGGCTTCTTACCAATGTTGTTTTCTGGACATCAAGAGATGCAATTTCCTGCCGAATCGAGGATAGTTCGTTCTGTAGCTTGATGCATTCTTCTTATCGACGATGTTGAACCTGTGTCTCCTTTCATTACAGCAGATTTCGAAAAGCTCCTTGCAACACCTTACCAGGAGGAGGAACCGTCATGTGCCTTTCAGTAGCCTTTTGCGTATACTTTCCTTGGTTTCCATGTCATAGCTGAGCTTGCTAGACTGTCTGACCCTGTTGGTTGGGTTGGTGCCGAGTGGCATGGGTCTGTATGTCTGTCTCTCCGAGTAGAGCCCACGGTTTTGTATAATTCAACCTTATCCAACTGGCAATATATGATACAAGTCATGTTGACTGAAATCGATAGTCAGAAATGGCACCGTGTGCTTGTAACTAGGAAAGTGAAGTTGAAGGACTTGGATGTGAGAGGATGGAGATTTACTTCTAATTTGTTGCACGACTACTACCTATCAGGAGCCATCTCCAAGCGCTTATCCGGGAAAGGGCACCCCTGGTGGAATATGGCCGCACTTATTGTATGTGAATGGAAGGACCACGCTTCTAAGACGTGGCCTGCGGAGAGGCTAAAATCAGGCGGCAACTCCTGGTATTAGGGGATCAAGACACTTCCTGCCTACTCCTTCAGAAATACTTGCAACATCTGAGGCATACGCTCTCAAAATGGTTCTCCTTTCCTGGATTGCCAAGAAAACCAGGCTCGTCGTTGTCCACGTTACGGTCGTCAGGCAGAGTCATGGGGGTATACGAGTCATCCATAGCACTTTTCCTCACTTTGAATATAAGTGGATTGTAAGTCAGATTTCTTAATCCGATCATGCATATTACTCATTGATCCTTTCAGAATCATTTTGAACAACCTGACACTCCAACCGAACCCGCAAGTGAGTCGGATAAAGAACCATTGTGATCGACAATGGCGTGATGATCAGAGTTGTGTGCTGTGCAATCGCTTAGTAGAATAGAAATTTGCAATGAGCATTTCTCATGTGTTATATTTGATTATATAACTATAGTTAGCTACCAGACTATTGCAACCTCCCTGGCCATCAGCCTTGTCAACTTAACAAAAAACGACATTAAAAGCGAGCAAGCCACTTTTGATAGACTGAGTTTAATGTTTGATCACAACTTGCACCTATCAAAGTTTGCATCTGTAATTGTTAAATCAAGCTTTAAATCAACCATGGCTTGAATGATGAACTAGGTTAAATTCAGATACACTTACCCTGACACTTTTTCGGCAAAGAATTCTTCTTGATGAAGCTGCCCTCAGTAGTTTTGATCCAGTCTCTGTTCAGCGTGTCAGCTAATCTTCCTCCGATATCATTTAAATGAATACTAGCGGCGGAAAGATTAGTATAACTAGACATATAATGGAACTTACATGTTGCAAATTGATCCGTCCACTTGGCAGTTTAAGCTGATAGTCTCACGATTTTTCGCTTCGTATGTACCAGCAGCAGTTTCGCAGGTGCAAGGATGCCTGTAGAATGATACATCCTTACTTTTTAAGGGGGGCTTGGGTGTGCCAGGTGGCTGCGGTGGTCGGAAGTTCCTAATCTTACATTGCACAACTTTGGCCTTGTTCTGAAAGTCGTCAAGGGATGGCTCGTTAGGCGCAGCAAGCGATACTGTTGGTAAAACGGTTAGGAGAAGAGCAGAGAGAGTAAAAGAAGAGCACTTCATTTTGTAATAATATATTAATATCAATATAAGGACCTAGGTAGTAGCTGTAGTTATTCGGATGGGCACGGATTGACCCTAGTGGAATGAACTTCTAGATTTTGCACTTGAGCAGGGGCAAGACCAAGGGTTTAAAACTTACGCTAGGTAGGAGTTTGCAAAGGCCTAGAGCACTGTAAGCTTGGTGAACCTGGGAATAGTGGTATAAGTCCCGTGTTCTTGTATTATAAATAAACACTCCTTGCATCTGAAATCATACGATAGAAATCGAAATCTAAAATACTCTATATTTGATTTGAGTAATATGATTAAGTTGCCACGCATCTATCTTACTGCTTGCTATTCGCTAGGTCCTTTTTCTCGTATCACTATAACAGTGTACATTTCCGTTTGCAGTAAGATAACGATGTCTGAATCAAACCTTAAGGGTTGTGGACCCACTGTAGGGATACGCCACCACCTGAAGAGTTCAAAAAAGCAAAATATATATTCGAAGGTAATGATTCATTTGCTGCTCCAAACTAAGCTAAACATTCGGTATGGCAAAAACTTGGACCATGTAAATTAGACCCGAAAGCTCGAACCAAAGCTGCATTGATTTAGATTAGCACTTTACGTAACATGGTGGAGACACAGAGATCTAAGGCATGCCAAGATACATATCAGGCCAACAACGTAAATTTTCCAAATCACACCACTATATGCGAAAGGACCTTGACATTCCGTAAACTCTCAGAGTTGGTTTGCCTTAAACCTGGCGCGTATTTGGCTGGAAACCCACACTTTCAGCGACCAGCCTTAGCTGTCTACTCACTACCGACATTCGGACACTAATCGACGCCATCTATTCGTAATCAGCATGGCTAGAAGGCCGAAATTATGGATATCGATCGTAATCTCCCCATAGCTATTTGCAGTTACCTATCTGTCGAGTTTGATTTGAATCTAGTTAGCTTGCGCAAGAAGCTATTGAAAGCTCAGAACCTAGAGAACTAATACTGGAATTAGTTGCCCCCGTATATAGCTAATTTCATAAATATCAAACTAATTTGGTTAATCGTGTAGTCGCTAGATGTTTCTTGACTTTTCATAAATTTTTCAGTTCGGCCAAATCTCGTTTAGGTGGCTCGCTCGGTGGTAGATTACGCATCTATGCGGATGACAGTACTAGGGTACATGAAGGGGGGTATATCCAATTCAGTAGTGGCAAAGACAATCTAAACAATGCATGTAGTGGTAAATTACTGCAAGATATCAGGCAGTCAACTATATTCGTGTTTTGGGCATTGTCATGTGTAGAAAATTGAGAGGGCTTGTCTCGCTAAGAAGACATAAACCCTTGTTTCTTGCGGCTGCTCCTGGTCTATGTAGTAGATATTACGCGTCCAGCGTTGGGGGATATTGAATTTAATTTCTCATAAGATACAGACCGATTTCACAAAATCAGGTGCAACTCCATAAGATTACTCGGAACTATAGACGTCGCATGCGGATATCTTCACCATTTTCCAGAATTGTTTCCGTGGACCCACCAGTACATATACCCTAGTAATCGGTGCACTCAAACTTCAGTAGGTATCTGGGCCTTTTAATTGAATCAACATTCATATTCATGCATACTCCCGTCCCGCCGGGAGTGTGGCAATTTAACAATACCTATATGTAGGGTGACGCCGTACTCTACGTGCGTTCGTGGGCGGAGAACAGCACACCGTAGACGTAGGGTCGCAGAGTTTCCCACGCAGTATATAACGTAATCGGTAGGCGAGCGATGCATGTAAGCGGGTGACGCACCACCCATGTTTTCAAAGGCGCCTTATTTTCTTAGGCAATTAAAACATCAATCATACCACCAAAAATGCCTAATCATCGAAATCACGCATTGAGCAGGAATGCAGAGCCCTACTTGCTATACCAGCTATAAAAAATCATGAATTCAGCAGTGTTAGGAAGGCAGCTGAGGTTTTTAACATACCCGAACCTACACTACGCAGAAGGTTGAAGGGAGTATCTTTTAGGGGCAATCTACGTGCCAACAGTCATAAATTGATTACTAGTGAGGAGCAGTCACTTAAATAATGGATCTTATCACTAGATAAGCGTGGAGTACCTCCTCGGCATGCAGACGTACGAGAAATGGTCAATATCCTGCTTTTAAAGCGTAATACTACTTCTCCCCCTACTACTGTAGGGGAGAAATGGGTATACAACTTTACCAGGCGTACATCTGAGCTCAAAACCTGCTTTGCACGTCGCTACAGCTACCAACGTGCTAAAGTAGAGGATCCTAAGGTCCTAGGTGCTTGATTTGAGCAGGTAAACGAGGCTATTCAGAAGTAGAGCATAGCTTCAAGCGATATCTACAATTTGATGAGACGGGATATGCAATGGGCCTGATAGCTGCGGGCAAAGTTATTACTAGGTCTGACGTACCAGGCAAGCCATTTGTATTGCAGCCAGGGAACCGGGGATGGGTTACAGCCATAGAATGCATTAGTTCTAATGGATGGGCTCTACCTCCCTGCATCATTTTTAAAGGCAAGTTGCATATGGAGGCCTGGTAGGAGGATGACAAGGTCGTACCTGCTTGGAGGATCGAGGTCAGTCATAATGGCTGGACAAGCAATGATATTGGCCTACGTTGGCTACAGAATCATTTTATACCTCTTACTACCGGCCGATCTGTGGGAAAATACCATTTACTTATTCTAGATGGCCACGATAGTCATCTAACACCTCTATTCGATCAGACCTGCACAGAAAATGATATTATACCAATCTATATGCCTGCGCACGCTACACATAAGCTTCAACCGCTTTATGTTGCTGTTTTCCCACCTTTAAAAGGCACGTACGGAGGCCTAGTCGAATCTAAGATGCGCTGCGGGCTTAATCATATCGATAAACTTGATTTCTTGGATGTATATCCCAAGACCCATACCGAATCCTTTACCAGCAGCAATATCCATAGTGCTTTTAGAGCTACTGGCCTAGTTCCGCTATCTCCTGATCGCGTTGTATCTCAGCTGACAGTTCAGCTTAAGACCCCTACACCTCCGAGTAGTATACCTAGCAGTCAAGGCAGCTCAGCGCCTAAAACGCCTCATAAAGTCAAGCATCTGAAAAGGTCAGAATCTAGCTTCAAAACGCTGCTTAAAAATCGATATAATAGTCCTGATTCACCTATTAAAATTCGCCTAAATCAAACAATAAAAGGTCCTGAACAAGCTTTGCATAATGCGACAATATTGAAGCATCAACTGTAGCAATATCAGGCTGTATATGAAAACCAGGCTAAAAGGTGAAAGCGTTCTACCTAACAGATTACATTTGAAGGAGGCACGTCAGTATCTGAAGCCCGGATCCTTATAGAGCGCCGAAATCAGGCAGATGAAGCCATACAGGCAGATAGGGTTCTGAATCGGCTCCCAGGCGCGCCCCATCTAAATGTTCTGGCTGTGGTGCACAGGGCCATAAAATTACGCACTGCCCGAATCGATAGAATTACTCGTTTTTGTATAGGAATCAAAGTTAATGATTTTTTAACTATTTAAATTTTGTATATGGCTGTTGGGCTGCGGGTCGCTTACCGGTTACGTTACGAAATGACAAATGTTCGGGGGTGGCCCTCAGAAGGCGGGCCCTTACCCCCCGCCCGGCCCGTGGGCAGGAGCACGCTGCCCTGCGCGCTCATTTTGCGGGTCAGTCAGGTTAGTATGTGCTATGATGAGGGGATGGTTTGCGAAACCCTCCACCAAATATGTGATGATATTCCAGCAAGGGTGTTTGGTTTGTAGTTTCCACTATACAGATACCACGATAGCAGAATATCTGATTTCGCTGTCCCGTCGATGGACTGTGATCTTGTCCCTTCCACTGCATCGCTCTACTGCTTAAGTTCATACATGGTCAGTATCCGAGCACTAGACTGAGGATATTCTACCAAGTAATAATAAAAGTCATCACACCAGTAGTACATTCATAAGTGCTATGTGTGGTCCGCATCCTTGACATTCTATAAGTTTTGTATGACTCGTTAGATTCTCATCTTTCCTTCTTTCGTCCCCATGGAGGGAAGGTGCTTTGATATAAGGTTGTCTAGGGATACTATGACACATTTCCTGATAATTAAGTTCAAAGGATAAGAAGGGTTTATACTTTCCTGCCTTCCTCTTCCCCCCCCCTTCAAAAACCTCGTAGTGCCAACTGTTGAAAGTATGTACCTTTGCAGGCTGTCCACGTCAGGGAGGCTCGGGCGAATCAACGGGGTGTGTTTCCGGGAGAAGGATGGCAGACCTGCAAGGGGGAGTCGAGATATCTTCTCATCAGTCAATCAATACAAAGGGGGAGGAAAAACGTGATTTCTCGGTCATTAAGCATGTGGTAAATTAAGGTCGAAGACCGTTACCCACACGCGCTTGGTGGCCCTTCCACCAAGGACAAGCGACAGAGTATCACAAAAAATGACATTTTCAGAGCTTACGTACATAAGCACGCTCAGGTCTGAAGGCTTGGGTACTATCAAACTACGGGAATTAGCATAGAAGCAGTGGCGGGTGGTGTTATCTGGCTCTTTTGGGCCTCTGCGATTATTAGAACGTCACAATTCGACCCACGGGCGGTCATAGCATCCCTTGCATGTCTGGAGACCAAAACACCGGAATGCACAGCATTACTATGGCCTGGAATCTTTTGAAGTACACCAGTAAATACGCGCAGATGCTGTGTACTATTATATATGCAGCAAAACTGTCCTGAGACGTGACATGATTGCTTGGCGACCACTTTCTTTTCCTCTGTCTGGCAATGAAAGCTTTGCGGTACACTTTGCAAGCACATTTGACCACACATGGCACAAGCTCTATGCCTGGGATCACCCTTCAAAACGCCAATTAAGGCGGAGAAGGACTTAGACAGGGACAATGTTCGACCGCAAAGCTCGAAGTTGGTAGCTTCGGTAGGTGATTCACCTTCATAGCCCACTACGATTGACCCCTGCCTGAACTCAGAAATATCCACACGGAAGATCAGATCTTGGTTCGTTCTCTTCTAATCTGGTTCACTCCCAAAGGATAGCACTACAGATACAAGAGAGGTGGCGGATCCTTCCAATCATCTCTCTTCCGGTATCTCCGCAGTTCGACCAGTGAGATCCGAAGAGAGATTCCGCACTCCCCAGTGCCAGATGAAAATGTTCAATGTGCAAGAAAAGCTGGAGATGTCAGGGGCAAGATATGGGGATTGCAGCGGCCCAGAGCCGATCCGTCGGACAGCCCGTCAGGAGGAGACATCTCCGTTAGTTCGCAAAGCCTTGCGACAGAGCAATCCCCCCAATCAGGGGATCATGTCCAAAGTCAAGAGAAAGCTTCAATTCACAGCTGGCTCAAGGAGTAAGAAAAGAGTTTTGGCTTCTATTACTTTCGTGAGGCGCAAGTCGTCCACAACCAAGACGACCAATTGGTGGGACATGTGACATAGCATGGCCGGCTCTTAATATATTTAATAGCAACCACCCTTTATGAATTAGTTGACTATGCATTGATACACACTGTTTTTGGAGACCTATATCCCTAGAATGCGTATGTTACAAGAGCTGAAGAAGTATATGCCTGTCTTTCGCTCCCGTCCACTGTGAAATTCTCTCCTTCATGGGAACGGTACATGGAGGAGATGAAAAGACGCTGCGGTCTTATTCGACTCCTGAGTGACATCGAGAGGAGGAAATTGAGATCAAGGAGATTGGATAGGTTACCGAAGGAACTATGCCTTGAGAGGCGCGGCCGCGGGCAACATGACCCCTTCCTACCGTTTCTAGATACCACACTAGGAAGGTGTCCGATCGACATGGATACAGCACGGAGGTGGGTTATTAGGTTTGATTTTCCCAGAACCTGTCCCACTCGAAGCCAACAACCGGGCCTGACTGGCATGAATGGTCGAGCCTAGGGATGGCTCGGCCGATGCAAGGGCTGCAACGCGACGGAAGTTAATTTTCTTTGGAAGTTTTGGATAACTTGGATCATACTCCGTGTCAAGCCTCCCCGGCTTCAGTTCAGGTATCGTCCTGCTTGACTTTCGTCCGGTCAAGTCAGATTTATACTGAAACTATGGAGGTTTTCAGCAATTTCCACAACTTTCCCTCGCACGCGTTGATTTCACACAGCATCTCGCTTCTCACAGTATACACCAATGCCGAGCCCTGAACTCCCCCGAAAAAGTCCATCGAAACTGTGATTTCTGAGCATATTAGGGGTGGTCCCTCGAATCTTGTTTGCTTAAATGGCATTCCCCAATTTTGAATCATGATGAAGCCTCTCCTTACCCTGTGGATTGAATGGCGCTTTTTTAGTAGAATTCGGTGCTTCAGGAAACGGTAAGGGACTTCATCCTTGTTTTTGCATTATTCTAAGTCAAAGACCTCCTTTCACCGTGGATCACACGCACTTTCATCTTGCAGAAGTTTGAGAACCTCCTTGAGCTCGACAAAATCCGACGCGCGTATATCTTGCATTTCTAGCCGCAAGGAACTGCTACAATTGCGCCAAGGTCAGTCAATGATACTTGATTCTTACGAAGAGCCACACCATAGGTTAAGTAAATTATCTCTCTGTCATCCGGGGACCATGCACACAACCTTCTGTCGACACAAAAGGCATGCATTAACTAATCGAATCAACAGGAAGGGGAGCAAGGAAAATTCGCTTGTCCTAAGGCCACATAACTGCTGGCACCATTCATACCGTTGGGATAGCGGCCAGCTCCATTCATGTTGCCATCGAGCCTGGTATCCTCTACTGACGCTGCAAGGCGTGTAAACATGGCACCTACAATATCTGTCGAGAGATGAGGTTTGCGGCGGTACGCCCAGACGTGCAAGGTACTTTAACGAAGTATCACCGAGTGCCGGAAGATTTGTCTACAAGATACCATCGTGGATTGGCCTTCATGCTCAGTAGCCTTGCCTCCGGAAGGAGCTATTCTCTGACCTAGAATCTCAGAGCGATGCTCCACCGCGACCCACCACGTGATCATGACCATGGTCTTCAATATTTCGTCGGACATTCTCATGATGTGCATTCCGCTCCCGCTCCTCATTTCGGTCTGCTTGCTCCTATACAGGTACGTTCCAACCGACGTCGGCTCTATCCCGTATTTAACCAAAGGATTGTATATTGTAAGATCACTTTAGTGGGTGTATTCAGTATGGGAACCTTGATTGTAAGACCGGTGATCTGATAAAACTTAGCCGTTACCCCGGTTGAGGGTTTCCTTGGCTGTTTCCTCCTGCGAGAATCGTCACCCTGCTTGCAGAATTATGGACTTGTTATTGGACTACATAAATTGAAGTAATTTCATTTTATCTAGGCAGAAAATAGCTAAGGATATCGAGATCAGCCCACTGAAAGTATGACAATGAGTTCACAATAGCACGATCGAAAATCTGTAACACCAAAAATGAACAGCAGTTAAGATATCAACAGATTTAAGTGGCTTTGGACGTAAAGCTTCACAGAGATCTGTCACTTTGCCTCTTCTTGAGTGAGAGGGGATGTCGGTGCGTGGGTCCGCTTCGCCTATATGATATTTTCCATGTACACGACGGGTTTTGCGACTATTCGCTGCTTTGATATGCTACCACCATATCTAATGCTTATTCTGATATTAAGCTACAAATTTCAAATACTAAGAGTTTTCCCTTGGTGTATGCCGTGACGTATATGTTTCAGCCATTGGTCTATTGGTCTAGATGAGTATTCTTGAGAGCAACTTACTATCTGCTACTAGTACTGAATAAATACCATACCTACATGTTCAGTCTGCTCTTTATCTGTATAGATAATCTACTGATATGCAACTCCCAAGTGTGAAGCTATACACGTCCCCATTCACTTTGTTCATTCCAGGACAAACAAATGATCTGGAGCTGAAACTCGCAGGTTCTACCATGACAACTGTAATGTGACCCCACATATAGCAAAATACATGTATAGAACGCACCGTTGTAAATTGTGAGTGGATAGTTGGCGAAGCACAAAAATCAAAAAATCCTGCAGAAGAACTCAAAATTTCCCCATTCCTGCGTGGTTCGGGACATTGGCCTGAGCCTCGCTAGCAGACACGGCAGAAGCAATAGTGAGCCCTGAGAAATTCGAGAAGAAAGAGATATCTGTATAACAAATAAAGCTGCCGGAGTTGGAAACAGCATTTACTTCGCAAGCCGACTAAGAACTGTTTTGTAATCACCAGCGGACGAGGAATCCGGTGTGTTGAAAAGTCTGCCGGTATAGCCTCCAACAATCATGGACACATTTATCCAAACGCTTCCCTCGAAGATACCCCTCGCAGTTGATTCGCCACCCTCTAGCTCATGACCGTTGTTCTTCTCCCAGACATTGTTCACCGCATGTAGGGGAGTACCTCCACTCAAGGCTGGACTGCGACCAGCTGTCTTGTAGATATAGCAGCTCTGCATAGTAATCTGATCTGCTTCGCCTACCATCTCAAAGCCCCAGTAGGTGTACCCATCGCAGCCGGCAGAGTACGAAGTTTCGCTGTTGATGAAATTATTCGAGAGTCACACGAATATTGGTGCTGAATCCAAAGCTGCGGTGTTGGCATCCGGTGCGAACTGTCTAGAAGATCTATGAGTAACTACAATTGAGTCTGTGCGAAAGAACATACCGTGACATGATCAACCCAGATAAGGTCAGACCTATCGAAATAAAGAGCATAAACCCCCACCTCTCTCCCCAGACATACTCAGGATTCAAGTCGGAATTTTGAACGTTTTGGAAAATAATATTTGACACGCCGTTATTGAATCTCAACCCTTTCACTTTGATGATTCCTTTGTTTCCGTCGCCGAGGATTGTTTTGTTTGACGCAACATTCATCCCCGTCACTGCAGCAGTGTACCAAGTTGATTGCCAAGGAGAGCTTCCGCAGTCATCCTGGATGATAAGGAAGCACGCACAGTTCCGCTAGTTGTGCCCTCTGACTCAGTAAAGTCGTGATCTTTGTCAAGAACATTCACTTCCGGAGTATCATCGGCAAGTCACTCCTTCAGCTCGTTGATATCAATGGAAATGTGTGGTTCTGCACCACCACCGCCTGTCAGCCCAGCAGCGAAGGCTTGAGCTGAGCCAGATACCGATACGGCTGAACTTAGGGGTGCAAGTCCTAGTAGGACAGCAGTGATACTTTGATCTTCATGGGACCTGAAAAGAATGGCCAGTGGTTTCTCAAAGTGATTTTGGTAGATTGAGAGTCAGCAAACTAGAACGGATCTTTCATCGCCTATATATACATTCAATGATTGTTGATCAAACCTCATTTACAGGGGCCACCAATTCTAATCGCTACTAGTAAAAAAGTAAAGAACTTGGACCGGCTGTTGGCCCATCGGTACTATGGTATTTCGTTATACCTGATCCCGCTCTGACAACAGGAAACCGTCCTCCCATATCGCCGGACTGCCTATAGCAAGCCATTTATGCCGCACATTCCCCTGGAAATAAGCGAGCAAATGACAGTAAGGATGAGCAGAGAACATTGGGTCATTTGGTAAAATAACTAAATTAGTTACCGGGAATGACCCTCTGGGATGGTACACGTCAGACGTATTTACCCGCCTCTCTCCGGTCTAGTAAGCAAAGCCGATGGATAAAATCAATAACAGGTACCATATGCAGAACAGCAAATGACATGGATATGAATAGACCCATCGACTACCGTGGAACCCGAATTAGGAAGTTAGTCAGAGTGGGGAACTATTTGAATGGTGATTGGGCAAAAGATAGCATCCAATGTATGTGCATCCACGTAAGGTGAGAAATACCTATATCAAGGCAAAGAATGAGTACTATGATCATATAAATCTGGCCATTGATTTACATATACTTCATCTAACTTATCCCAGGATGGTATAAACATATAAAACATGGAGTGCACTTAATTTCACGTGATTTGTTTATTAATAGGTTAAGAGGCTAAGCAGGCAAATAGTCCCAGGCCTGGTGTAGAACAACTATGATATTGTCTACCATACCCGAAGACCACTATCTACATTCTAGAGCAAGGTACACAAGCTAACTTTCTATAACATGTCTCCAGCGGAGTTATATTATTTGTACATGTCGTGTCTAGGATAGACATTTGACGTTGGACGTTAGCAGAAGTTTGCTTAGTCCTAGGGCACTTGTTCCAATTATTTTTAACGGGATCCACTGGGGAGAATACTCTAACGCCAGTGATTGACGGAGTGGCACTGATGTGCAGATAACGTCAACAGTAAACCGAAACTACGACTGAAAGAGAGGGAAAAAACGGGGGAGCGGTGGGGGGCGTAGAAGTAAATCGAGGGGGAAATTAGTCTGGGGTTGCCGACCGGAAGCTTGTCTTGATACAATGCCAAAAAGTACCGACGATCCTCGCATTGTTTCATAGGCGTTTCTAGATAAGTCTCCGTTATTCTGTTACTCCGGCCTTTGTCGCTGCTTCGGAAACTGACCGTATGGTGGGGATCTTCACATGATCCTGTCGATTTGCAGTCATTCCAACGACAGTCAATACCAAATACCAGGGGAGGGGGGGCTTGGACAGGGACTGACATTTGTCTCACGACTTCGGGTACCTTTTCAGTGACCCACGAAAAGAGCCTGCCTACGCAAGCCTCTCATGATTGGCAGGCCTACGGCTGTAAAACGATTCAGCTGTGCCTCTCCAATTGTTACACTACTATACTGATGTTCTATGTATGTAATCAAAAGTTGCTTCCAGTTCTATTGAATTCTTGATACCGTTTTTTAGTCTACCGAGGGAACATCTCAGAGTTGTAATATGTTCTATAGATACAGTTATACTTTCATGTTGCTGACCTGGTACTTTGGAAGCTCAAGTCTGATTAACTGAAACAAATAGGGGCTAACGTTTTCAACCGCCGAGTTGAGAACCCAACGCTGGTTGACGGTGAAATGGCGGCCAAAAACGGCAGTCCGTCAGTGCCGTTTTAAGCCCAGTCGCGCCCAATAGTATCGCACATCCATCTTAGTCAACTTGTATCACGTGGGTGTACTCACCCTACATCACTGAGTGCTCAGTGAGCGCTCATTGTTTACTCACCCCTACTCTGCCCAGGCTCCCTGAGTACTCCCTGATCAACTCACCCTCTACTCAGTCTGCTCAGGACACATTACAATTTCATCATGAGCACTTCCAGAATTTTCGCCGCGCATAACCGCCGCCTAATAATCATGGTAATCCTACTTCACTCTAAGTGGGTATACCTACATTTCCTTCTATTTAAGGGCTACCTCCAACTTTTGACATTTTTCTCTTCGCCCTCTTCCTTTATTCCTCTGTGCACTATATTGTATTCAAACTTTTTGCCTTTCTCTTTTTATCTCTCGTTTGACCTAAATTTAACATTCGTTCCGTTTTGAAGAGCCAGTCTGGCTTCCTGCCCTTCTCCCTCAAAATCATATCTTAATACGGAATCTCCGCTATGGGTGCTTCAGCTCTTCGTGGCTCCAGGAAAAAGACTGTTCTTAGCCCTGAACACTATCGACAACATCGTCGAGATCTGGAAAACACAGGCGTTTTTCAGAAACGTCACGCCAAATCAACGAAGAACAACATCAAAGGCATCAAGGATAAGTGGACGAAGTGAGAATTCATTCCTTGTACTAGAGTAAGCTCGTAGGATGCTTACAGTGGACTGGCATTAGGCATTGCGATTTTCTCGGGGAACACCGACTAAAATTCCTTGTGGCAGCCCGGAAAGAAGATGTCATGATCTTTTTGAAATGGATACTTGACAACTACGCCATAAAAAAGTTCAGCAGTTTACATGAAAACTGGAGGCAATGGTGCCAACTGTATCGTCAAGCTGTTGGTCGCAGTCTTCACACCAAATGCCGTAGTGACATCAATGATGTAAGATCCATCAGTGTATCTCTCCCTGTTCCGTCCACTAACTACTGGCCAGTACATGACTGGGACCCTGGTGCCCTTATATAACCTAGACCTGTCTGTCGGAGACAAACCTGTTATGAATGTCGACGACTTATACCTGGTGCTTCATCATCACTGGGTACTAGACAGAACGCCATACCCTGATGGCAGGCAGATTATCCAACTAGCCTTCCTTCTTCTGGTTTCCGCTTACACCGCCAGTCGGCCAGGGGCATTAGTATATGTGGAGAGGAATGAGCGAACCAATATTTCACATTTCTATGGTCGTGGTAACAATGATAACGAGGGAGACGAGGAAGCGGAATGGGACACAATGAGCGAGGATCTAAAGACCCTTTGCTACGGTCAGATAAGCTTGATCCTGTTGCCAAATCCCCATGGCCCTCGTGATCACTTAGTAATGGAGATTGACCTGAAACACACAAAAGGTCACCTCAATAAACCCAAGCGGTAAGTAATCTACTGGGAAAGCCCATTACCAAGGCTAATAAGATCACAGTAAAATATTTCTGATGTCCGAAGTGAAGGAGTCAGTATTCGATATTATAATACTTGTTATCGTCATGGCAATTCTTGATGATGCGTTCGAGAGTAATATTCGTTCTGTCGAGGAAGTGTTCTCCAGCCGTGTGCTTGCTCCTCGACGCTCCAACCGCCTCAAATTTCGTAAGGACAAATTGAACGTTCCAGTATGCAGGCAACCTATCTCGACTGGGTACGGGACTAGAACGCATGACATGAAGCCACTGAAATATCACACGTACCTATATTATCTCCAACGTTTGAATTTGGCTGTTGGCATGATTCAGGCTATGAGGCCGTACGATCTACGGCGAGGCACGGGCGAAGCAGTCGATAGTAGGTCATTCCAGCTGCCTTTCTACTTTGTATTCCTATTTGGGCATCACTAACACTTGTTCGCGTACCAAACCCCTAGGTGTTGCATCACTTCCATTGCTCCAGCAAGTTATGGGACATGCTTATGCCAGCGTCTACCAGAAGTATATGAACCAGCGAGTCCAGTGCCATGTCCAGGCAGCATTTCTTGGAATACCTTCTGAGAATGCATTGATGAATATCCTCAGTCATCAGAGTCGTTATGTGGATCCTCGTGCACCGGCCCACTTTGACGATCTTACTTCTACACAAAGAGCTTCAATCTCGTCTCACCCAGAAATAATTCGTCTTCGAGAACTACGAGATTCTTTAGCTGCGGAAGCAAAAGAGCTTTATGGATCGAGCAAGAACGCAGCAGGCACAAAGATTGGAGAACTTAAGGCTAAGGCTGATGCTAACCTGCGCTGTGCAAAGGCAAAACTGAAAAAGGAAGCCTTTAACGCTGCTCGTGGAGAGTTCTTTGACACAATCGACACAAAGGAGATAAATAAGCAGCTCGACCCGTCTTTCATAGACGTCGATGACAATGAATATCGCCCCGAATCTGTCGTTCACAAGCTGGAGGAGCGAAGGCGCATAGCACAGATGATGAAGCTCCCTACCAAGGACCTCTCTGAGAAAGAAGCTCTAGACCACCGGCTTGCACTAGCAAATGCGCTGATTGACCTCGGCCGTGTGGTGAAAATACCATCTGAGAGAATATCCGGAGAAGATATAACTACTGACTGTGTGCTAGTCCTCCGTCCATAGTGTCGTCTCAACCAGATAAAGACCCGTCTTCTCCAGAGCCTCGCGCCTCCCCTATTGCTCTCACTAACAAGCATTGTCTCTTCTGTGTATTCAGTCCGCATCATCAATGCTATTTTTCAACATCTCGGAAAGCGCGAGAACATTTTGAAACGCATCTGCGGGCTTTCGGGCGTGAAGAGCCGATATCGTGCCCAGATGAATTCTGCCAGCTTGTTCTACATGGCCATCAAGAGCTGAAGAGCCATGCAGATCAAGTTCACAAAGTTCGTTATTTCACAGAAGCTCAGCGTATAAGAGCTGGTTTTTAGGTGATCACGAAATTTTCTAATCACCATCTGCGTTCTTTTGGTTTTCTCGCGGTTTAATTAATGCAAATTCTTATATCTGCTATCCTAGTAGGCAGCTATTAAAATTAATCAGCAACAGTATATTAGTCATATACAATATTTTTGGAAGATAATCATATAGAAAAACCGCACTTCATTCAAATATGTCCTGACGCTGCCGGCATCTGTAGTTATTCAGGCAGAATGAAAAGTTTTACATTGATTCTCTGGGCTGACTAACGCCTGTGAAGAGCGGCCACAATAGAATATGCGTAGCTACAGTAATACGTGCAACCATGTTATCTGGCCTGATAAGAGTAACGGAGGCGTTCTGTACAAATTTTTTTCTTAACCCATCACTTTTGGACTAGATAAGTCCTGGCTACCCAGTAGGAAAGTCTATGTACCATCTGGGATTTGTTGCCACAGAGTTCGATACTCGTGATTCCATCAATTGTGGGGCTGGAGAGAATTGGGTCTATAAGTCCTTTTTTGCATCGATAATCCAGCCCATTTTAGAATCTTTTAGTTTGTCCCCACGAGTAGGTCCCGGTTCCCTACGGGAGTCTAGCTGGATCGCAGAAGCGCTGACGCTCACCGGAACGTGCCGCTCGCTGCCAAGAACACAACGTTGGTCTACGGAGCCATGGTCGGTCTCTAAAATCGAGGCTGCTCCCGAAATGTCGACTGCACAACTCTGATAAGGTCAGGATACCGACTTTTCCTCTCCGAGTTAGAAAAATAGTCTAATTCCCAAAATAGCATATTTATAAAACCATATTAAACTAATTTTCCCTCTAAGTAGACAAGAACTATACTCCGCGTTTCAAGAAGCAGACTCAATAACAAGAGATGCAACCCCACCCACCAATACCCGATAGACACAAAGGGTCTGTTTCAGCAGATTAAGTAACAAATATATGAAGACCTTGACTGTGACTGCACACTAATGGGAGGCTGTGAGGCATCTGGAGTACTCTTTAAAATCACCTGCACCACGTATGTGTGTGTGTGTGTGTGTGTGTGTGTGTGTGTGTGTGTGTGTGTGTGTGTATACGGTTGTTGGTAAAGGAACTACATCTCATTTGTGGAACAAGGTGAAGCGAGAGACGGATATTTACCATATACTATGGCGGGCCCAATACTGGTTCTTCTTGGCACAATCCACCTGGCCAAGATCTACTTCCTACACAGGCTGCCCAGATCCGGCATATGGTACTGATAGCTTGGGGTGGTGAACCCATCAACAAGATGAAAGATATCGAGGCGATCAGGCGTGGAATTTTGCGGCCTTAGAAGATTCTTTCTTTGGGGGTTTTTAATCAAGAACTTTCGGCCGGATAACATGCTGTGGAACGCCGAGCTAGGTCGGGGTTTGATCATTGGCTTTCATCATTCAGTACTAGATGTCAAGGCGGTGAAAAGACGAAGGCGATTATACGAGAAGACCTCATGTGGAGCAGAAGAACAAAAGCTAAAACGACTTTTTGAAGGCTACAGATGAGATCCAACGGGAACCGTATGCTTTGTAGTGGACCCTGCTCGGGAACAGTGGGCGGCGGGGAACTACCAACAGCAGCTACGCAGGCATCAAAATACAAATAGAATAAGGTAAATCGCATGTCAGAAGCAGCAAAGAACAGCAACAATACTATTTATGCTCTCGGGGTATACGAATATTGTCTTTGCCCGTATTCTAGACGTCGTGGTTGGGGCATGAATCGTAGGAAGCCAGATAGACGTCATTACAGGGGGAAATCACCGAAACAAGTCTTACAAAGCACACAGGGTGATTAGAGCTGCGCTTGCGCTAAGCGGCGGCGTCGGTACTTATATGGACAGGAAGAATGATATGGCTTATGTCGAAGACTGCGGAAAGCACGTTGGTATTATGAAAAAGAAAAGTAAGGCATAATATCTGACAGAAGGATGAACCATGGTGGCAGGCTTAGGACAACGGAGGACCGCCACCTTTTCGGCGTATATGGGCTTTTCAAGAGCTCCTTCTCGCTAAAATAATAATACATTATACACAGAGACAGTCTGAGAATATAAGTCTATCGAAGCCATACCTAGTAAATCGGAAGGAAACGATAAAGTGTCCCGGGGTACATAGAGAAGTTTATTTACTATATGATAGGTTGCCGATGCCTAATACAAGTCTATAGTCAAAGCAGGTTAAAACTGGGCTCCTAACTCTTGCGAGAGCAAAAGTTATCCAAGGAACATGAACAATGTTCCCTTTCTGGCTTAGTCCCATCTCTTGATCGCTTGGTAATTTTCGGAATCCGAATATACAGCGATACTGTTTGACGAACAATACAATTATCAATGTTTATACTTGTCAGAGGGTGTAGGTATGCCCTAAGTAGATGCCAAAGGGTAAATATCCGCACACCAGTTATATAAGAGGTAGCTTAACTCTATGGGTCATTCGAAGGCATATAATACTTGATACTCCAAGAGACAGTATCTCAATGACACCTCTTATTGTAAGTATGAACAAAACATTTATCGTATCGTATTTCAGGGAACAGTTATTATACCTGCTCCCTCTATAATATTACTACTAGTTCAATTGCCCACCATCTGTCTGTAATGCGCTGGCTATTTGACGAGAATCAATCTAGAAAAGTTATAGCCAAGTGCGAATTCTGGTCTCTCCATAAGCCATGGCGGTCATGTCCTTCACACTAGAGCACGTTCGGACGCAGTAATGGCGAAGTCAGCTTCCGACTAATGGGATCTTCCCTCAGCCAGCGACCCACCTATGGACTACAGAGACGGCTGCGGTCCAATACTTTATCCTGCTGCGGCTAGGTCCCACTTGGTGGGTACCGTAGTCGGCCTTCGAAATGATAGAAATGAGTCACCCATGAGCCGCCCACCACAGTGCCGTTCGCCCACGGTCATTAGTGCAGTTACTATCTGTCTGGCCGTCTCGAAGCATCCGGTTGACCACATGAAAAGACCCTCGAAGCGGGACCATGGACAGCGTGGTTTCCCTCACGTTGCTTTGAGAATTGATGTCTAGCCGCCCACCATGCGCAAGTAGCAGTATGGCTGTGTCCTTATTACTGAGGATATGTAATGTCCTATATAACAATTTGGATTGGGAATTGTTATTTGGAACTCACGCTAAACTACAATAGGCCAAAAATACGCTGTGTAATAGTAATGCTCAATATTTGCCCATTTTCTGAGTATAAGACCTTTTAACTTTTCCTGTTAAGGCAGAATTATATAGTACACTGAAATTATAGCAAGAAAAGAAGGATTTTTTAATACAATATCAAAACCTATAAAGATTATTTTAAGATATGTATACTATTAAAACAGGCGGCCCCATGAAGATTAGAGGTTCCTAGCTTTTTGAAGTAGATATAGTAAGTAGGATTTTTTTTTCTTCCTCCAAGTGTCATTAGATCGACAATCGGCACCTTTTGTCCACTATGCTCTTCTCATGGCATTTTCATCTTTGGAGTTGCAAGGTCGCCTGATGTATAACCATTAGTTTTGGCTAATACTTTGATATATCTATGCTTTCTCTTCACAGAAGATACTAGGTTATTAGCCAGGATATGATGACTATGAGCAGATGCCATTCCACAACAGGTCTCGATTCATTTTGCCTTGCTTCAGCAGAAGGTAGCAATCCACCGGACGCATTCTTCTTGTCCAGAAGCGATCTGCGCTGGAAAGTCTCCAGCGGAACAAGTGCCTTCCTCCCCAGCCTATATTGATGTATTTATAATATCTTCGAATCCTGGGTCCCTAATGTTGTGCTGGGTCCAAGTTGTCGAACAGGATGCAAATCTTAACCGACGTGGTCAAACCGAATGCCACATCTGGGCCCATATACAACAAACTCCGCCGCCTTTTGAAACAGGTCTTCCCCTTGTTTGGGTTGGTTGGGTGAAATGCCCTGTGTGGCATTCGTCGGGCGTGTAACGTTGCCCGCTCAGTGAATATCACCCGTCCACTTTCCTCGACCATGGCCCTTCGATCCGCATCGAGTCTGCGGTTTGTTAGTCATTATTTCATTATCTAAGCTGCGGCCAGTGATGGTGAATCTTGTGTTTGGCGCTGTCTGATTGGGACCCTGTCCGTCATTTTGATGCCATGCACAATAACAGTGGGGCTTCATGAATTGGTGACGCCCCACTTATGATGCTTGCATGACAGACTAATGGACCGCAGTGTCCTTTGTGATACTAAGTGAATCTGGCTGTGGGCAATTTCATTGGGTGGGAGGCTGACTTCGCCACCACTAAGCCAGACTCGGGAATCAACTGAGAGGCTATGTCTTAGAACTGAACCCCACATCACGACTAGGCAAGGTCGCATGCAAAGCGTCCATACATGAAAAGTTACAAGTGTATAATATTCAATTGTAAATTAGGTAGAAACCATTTGGTGGGGTGACAAAATCACTCGCACAGATGCTTAGGCTCTAGCTGACATCCCTCTATATAATCAATGGTAACCTGACTCCCAAGGTACATGAAACCACCGTGTCCACCTCGTATTTACTGTAGGTCCATCCGTGGTAGAGAGGAGCTTTCATACCATTATATTAAATACCGACTAATATTCCATTATTGCAAAACTAGATTGATGGTATTTGTTATATGGATTCGAGATGATGTATCCAGGATCCAAACGCCCCCCAACCCATGTGACAGGGTGAATAGACTTGCAAACAGATTCGGGGTAAACAAAAATTCTCCGGATGCTCTGAAAGGCTAATTGCAACTTTCAGCCCTCTAGCCCAGAACCTACCCATGGCACAACCTAAGAGCCCCACTCATAGAAAAGATTGAAAGATCGTGTCTCAAATAAGTCCCAGAACATTTGACGGATATGCTTTTCCAATAATAATATTATCCATCAAGGGCAAAATGCCTTAAATCCTGTAATGATGACACTAATGAGTATCCCTTGTACTTGGTTATCTGTGTTTTATTTCACGAAAAGCCTTCTTGCATTATGTGGACATATTTCAAAATATATGTTCTCATGCACTAACATTGCATGCTAATTTACGCCCTTGAACACTGAACCCTGTACTGTAAAGACTATTTTCACAATAACACATGTTTGCCTGCTGTTGATCATCTAACTGTATTCTTCCCATTATAATACAAAATGGGTATGGATAGATCAGCCTAGTTGCAAGTATCATTGTCACGGAATAGAATGACTTTATCGAATAGCAGGGTTACAGTGCTACAAAAGAGGAGTTTAGCACTGATTCTTTGATTGGCGATTGAGGCCATTGATATACGCCACGCTTTTCAGTGTCAAAAAAAATGGCTCAAGGTGAGCGTTGAAGATAGTCCTGGCATTGCTACCTGTACCATTGCACTTGGCACAGCTCATCATACGAGGTGTAGGTTTTTCGCTATTCAACGTTGAATAACTAATAAAACAAAACTCAATAATTAAGGCTTAAAGAAGATGTTAGTTAATCCGTATATTTCATAATCCTTAACTCTTCAGACCCTTGGTTCTGTGCTGATATGATCTCGGCCAGAAGTGTACTGATTCGTGTTCAAGCCCCAAAGATCTACTGCACACGGCACTGTATAGGCTAGATATCCTCTCCATAAACCCTCTCACTCTAGTTATCTTGGTTCGAAGAGAGAACATATGACTACATGGTCAAATAACAAACAATAAATCCATGTTGAAAGTTATGACCTGCGTATGGTGTCATTTGTATTCTAAGACTCATTAACGCGATGTCTCATGACTACCATGATGGTCCATCACCGGGTCTATAAAAAGGTCTTAGAGAATCCTACATAATGAACTACTTATGTAGAAGTAACTTATACAATTTGCTAGCTCTTTACCTACTTCTGAAGTAGAAAGGCCGTCACAAACGACACTACCAATATAGCTTCTCTCTGCACTATGAAGTCACCAATCTATCTGCTTACTACGCTCCTTCCTCTTGTCGCGCAGCTTACCGGAGCAACCCCTACAGCGGATCATGCCGATTATGACTCCCTTGAGGAGAGAGCCGAAGGCTTCTCCATTGGAGACAAACAAGCCAAACAAGGTCCCTGCACAATTGAAAGGCCATTTCAGTATTATAAGTATCCGTGCGACTCGAGTGATAGGGTTGGCGGAGCCCGTCGTGGTGAGCAATGGCAGTCCTCTTGCAAGTACAAGTAAGTCTTCTTAGGACATCTATACCAGGTTGTAAACGCAAGAGTATGCTAACATAACGCCTTAGAAATTGGTACAAGACCAAAAACGGGTGGTGGGCTAAGCAAGAAAATAAGCCTCGAAACTGTCGTAAGTGGTTTCTCGAAATCCCAAGTTGAATCACTTTTTACTGATGAATATAACAGGCGTGTCAGAGAGTAAGTGCTAGTCACTGAACTTCGGAACTTAAAAAGTGGAATCCTTTCTACTCTATTTATCTATTTCGGCCTGCACTTTTTCGAATTAAGTATGTCCTGGGAAAATTTGTGCAATTAAAAAGAGATGTTAATGGTCGAGGAACATGTAAAAGTTTGTTAATTATTCCGGTTAGTAGCATGTACTTATTATATAACGTATAACAGACTTCACTACGTAGCCGTAAAATTAGTATTCATGTGTTGAGCCCGTGACTTTAGCAATATGCAGCTATAACCTTTAATTTCAATTTCATAAACCAGGCTTAAAAAAGCGTACGAGCTAGACGGATGGAAGACAGTGTTTGGTTTCTTCCCAGGCAAAGATGGGACGAAATGTTCCCGCACTTACAGCTTGAAAGGAACGATATGCACGAGGATAGCAAGCATCAGCCTTAAACACGGATTGTTTTGCTAGTTAGCTTGCCAATTCATGTGATATCTAGGCATTATCTCCACAAAGGGTGATGGATAAACTATTACACAATTTCTTTAATGAATTCTCCACCTCTCAAAGAACGTGACCATGCTGTATAAGACCTTTATCCGCAAACACCCACTGTAGCCAAGGCTTTGTGTTAGACTAGGCCATGTAGGAATATAATGCAGCTTAGGCTTTATATTTGCCTAACCATGCAAGAGCTTACTGTAGCTTAGGCCTAACACTAGCCTACCAAGCTGAGGTACGGCATATACTCATGGGTTTGGCCTGGCCTGCCAGACTTCGGCTTTATTGCAACACTATTTGTATTCTTGATGTGGTGATGGCTAATAACACTTACATCTCTGCCTCCTGCTTCACAGCTCTGGAGATTCGCAATTTGAATAGCCTTCCTGGAGCCATTGGCATTTAAGCTGCTTAGACCAGTGAAACGCCTTGACCATGTATGCTCTTATATACCACATCAATGCCTCGACAGTGGACATCATGGCCCTTGCCGTGCAGCTCGCAGAACACGTCATTCGCGACAATCTTACCCACCTTCGGGTAGTTTCTAGGGAATGCCTTAGTCTCTATTATAATGCTCTTCGGTATTTCTCTCTGTTGATGATTGTCGGTGGCCTGGTCATGGTCATCTGGGATCGGTGAATAAGCTAGTAGATTCGGAACATGCTGGATCGCTGTGGCCACCGTTACATATGCAGAGAGCGCCTGGTGTAATGTTCCGCCTACTGTTGCGATCGTGAAGGGCGCGGTCTTGGGACTTTTGTTGGTATGGTACTTGGGTATTGATTCATCTGGTAAAGGGAACATACACTGTGACCGTTCCCAGCGAAGTCCAAAGCCATTTCCCAAAGCATAACCCCCTTCTATCATCTAGCATGATCTAAGGGACCCTGACTTGATACTGACCTGATAACCCTCCGGTAAACGAAACGAAATACTAACAGATATGAATGGCAGCCAAGGCTCCTTGAAAAAAATCAATTTTCGGGTAAGGCAATAAACGATTATTCTTCACAAGCGCTGGAAATATAGGATAATAGTAGTGATCTTGTGTGTTAGTTCTGGAAGGGAACTACCCACGCAGATATCCAATTGTCTGGGACAGCAGATGAGACATACATAAATGTCTACGAAGGTCGCCCAAACTGTCGAACTGTTTAGTGCACATTTTAATTAGACAAATGTGCGCCTTGGACGTGTTAACTCTGCAGGCCTGGACGTTGTAGTGCGATGCGGAGGAAAGACAATTCTCCTCGATGATCATTATCTGGGCATTTCTATGAAGACTAGTCACTACCACTGTGAATTCACCTAAATACGGAACTGTTGTTGGCAGTTAGAAGGCAGTAGCCGTACCTGGTGTAATTTTGTTTCTGGTAGCATTTCTCGGTGTGAATGGCTAGCGCGCAGGCGAAACGCCTCCGCGTCCACAGCACGCTCCGCTTGAGGTGGAGCAGGATTCAGAACAAAATTAATAGTAGGTCGCGGATTAGCAATTGGCATCTTGGTAGAGACTTAAGGAGGCACTCATATGGCTCTTATGTATCGCGCACCATAGATAAGTGAAACAATGAATCAACCAGAACTTCTTACTGTCGGTGAATCTCTGCGTCAGCATAGTTGTGAGATTACAGGCAGACGTGTGGCTCTGGGAAAAAGTCGGCTTCATGTGGCGCACATAAAACGCAAATGAACTACACATGGGATAATATTTTCACGCAGCCAATGTCCTTTGATATATAATACTGCAACGAATCCATCTATATGGGAGATATATTCTGACCAAAATACCGAAACTCTTACGGCAATCTAGTTAGTCATTTCGTATGCAGCAGGTCATCTGCAATAGAGGCGGTAGATATATAATTGTTCAGTATTGGATATTTGCAATTTCAAGAGTCATCATACTATACTCTTTTTAGCCTCAGTCAATACGTTAAGACGCTCATCGGGAGTCTAGTATATCTTTCGACAGCTCATTATCCTAGTGCCACGTGAAACTATTCGTGTAATGGATAAAAGGTTATCTTAGTTCTTTACTGAATACCGCTCTCCAAGTAGCTAAATACTTCTGATCATGAGAGGCTCATACCCAATGTACCCTTACTTCAACATATGTTTAGTGATATCGTTGGATCTATTCTGGTGCCCTTTTTCTATGAACCTGTCCCTATTTTTTAAGGAAATATTGGCCCATTCTATGCATGAATCTGGGGTCTTCTGAGAGGCCTTTGTCCCACTTTCGAAGAAAATGGAATGGATGGTGCAGCACCCATCGCTTCCTTGTCCACCACCTTGCCAACAAGCTGTCGTTCGCTATCAACACCGGCTACTTATTCCTATAACCTTCCAGATTATCCCTTCTCAGTCGGTACCGTTGCCTCTCGTTCTGCAATTCCCGCAGTGCACGTTGATACCTCTGGTTTGCACGGATACACTCATTTTTAGATCTCTTCTCATCTTTTCGTCCCACGACGATGGGGTGATGACAGCTTTCTGTCGTCCCTAATCTTCTTCAGATGCTACCGTTCACCTGTAGCTTGCTAGAACTCTTGGCTTTTGTTTCCGTATGAACATTTTCTTCTTCGTCCCTGATCTTCTTCCACTTTCGAAAAAAGCTCTTGTAGGTCACGTACACGGGTGATGACAATAGACTCTTCGAACTTGTAGGGCCTGCGGGGATTAATAGATTGCCTCATAGGCATATAGACCGCATCAACTGCTTCTGGGCGGGTGGAACCCAAATAATGGCCTGCACGTCGAGATGGATCCCAATGCTGGAGTTCCAAACAAAGGTGTCTATTTCAGCATGTTGCAGTATTACATTTTGAAGTCGTTCATCACATTTGCTGTGGATGACAGTGTTAGTCGTTATGATTCTAACAAAACAAGAAGGGAAGGGGAAGGAGAGTACTTACGGCTGTCGCTGAATGAAAGTTAGGGTCATCCTTGTCTATGGAACGGTGAATGACCCAGAATTCAACATCGCAACGCTTCGATCTTCGTCTGCAATGTTTGGAGCTTAGTCTGGAGACCGACAATATGATCATAGGCATTCTGAAGTATCAATGCTTTTCTACCCGGTCTCCTTCCCTTCGCAGACTTAGCATCAGAGCCTGCAGCTGCAGTTCCTTGTCTGATGGCATTATCGAGTTGCTTGAATCTAGCATCTAGATTCTCTCGGTAGCGCTTCTCAACTTGATTGTGCCTTCTTTTCTGCAGAATGTGGATTGTTGGATCATCTTTCTTACCGAAGTGGGTAGATCGGCACGTTTGCTGTACAGAAGTGTCTTGTGATAATAGTTGCTTCGGAACTGGCTTCGGTCCTATAGAAGGCGCGGATGGAGGTTCTGAATTAGCCATAGGAGTAAGAGACCTACGTAAAAGCTTTGGCTTTGACTGCTGTGAGGTGTCCGTAATGACGCTATCTTCGATAACAGGCTTTAGTGGTTCTTCAACCTGCGCCTTTTTGTGTTAGGCCCATAGGTAGACCATTCAGTGGGTAATCGATCCAATCTTACTCTGAATGGAATGTAAGAATCATAAAAAACCTTTTCTGCCATATCAACGCTAAAGTACTCGATATGTGGAAAGTCCGTATTTTGCAACTCAGTCGTGGATGCTGCCCAGTTGCTGTCAGAAGGAGTAAGGCCAGAACCTGACCAGTTTCCACATGTAAGGAGTGGATATTCCATTGACCATTCATCATTTTGGTCAACCTGGGTAATGCTTTCTGTAGGATAGAATTCCATCCTAATAGTGTGAGATAATATGATTTAAGGAATAGAACCAATATGGGAATAGATGGTATAGTAACCAGAAATTAAGGGAGGCTTTTCCACACTTTTAACCATGGGGTGCTATAAGCAGAGGAGCGCCTTCCAGGTGAAACTATACATGACGAGAGTGGCGTAATTCGGTGATCTCAGAAGGTAGAATCACTGGGTATTCGAACAGTGAATCTATCGGACAGTTCCTTTGGAACTCTGTTCCAGGAAGTGCCGTTGGAGCTCGGCTGTAAAACCCGGAACTTTTACTTTGTGGGGCTGTTCCACATTTACATATGAATCAAGTCTATGCTCAGTGCTCTAGGGCCCTGTCATTCTGACGTTTTCCGCCTACGAACCACCGACTTCTTGTCTGTTCTCGACCCAGGTCCCCCTCGTAAATCTCCAATCCAGCCATCAGATCTTGCTAGCCGTACGCCTGACAAACCTCGGGCCTTTGGTCATATGTAGTTCTATCTATATTACTTCCAAGTGAATTGTATGATGAAGTCATGCAACATGACATATATGTGACATAGACAGGTATCTGCATACTTGCATATTTACATATTTCGTGTTATTTCTGCCAGTTGCACCTGCCTACTGTCGAACTACAACGCGCTGATTTTTCGACGTGAATATACATTGTTTAAATTGCATCCAAGTTCAAGTTTTGAACCCTCGTTCGATCCCTTTTCACCAAGCGTGGCTTATCTGGCTCAGTGGTGGGGAACCTCAGACCAATGAAGCCTTTCCTCAGTCAGTGGTTAACTTTTGACTACGGAGACGGCTACGGTCCAATAAACTGTCCTACTGCAGGGGAGGCCTGTAAAGTCCCAGTGCTTTGCAAGCCAAATACTTGGAGGGAGATTCCACGGTTCTGCATAGCAGAGATCTGTTCATGCACTCCTTGTATTCCCTATTTATACCCACATATGTCAAACCAGAAGGACATGTATCTTTGACCACTCCCGTGGATGGTTGTTGGAGAACGTGTCCTCTTTGAGAAGCCTATCAATTACACAAGCTTGCTTGACGGTGATTGATACTACAGAGCTGAGGGCCGAGACGTACTAGTGCCACAGTCTGCAAAAGCATAAAACAATCATGACTCATTGGCCTATGGAGTAAAGCTCGGAGTATTCCCTTGTCGTATTACCGCACTTATGGAGGCACCAGCAACTGAAGGCCTATCAGTAGGACAGAACATTATTGGACCGCAGCCAGCTCTATGGGTAAAATGCGACCACTATTCGAAGAGGAGAATTCCATTGGCCTTGAAAACATATCTGACGTTAGTCATGTATTGAGTGAGAGAAACAGTAGAGAGGACGGAGAATAATTAGTGTGCTGGATGCCACGCTATATGTTGTGGGCTTATGTACGGTGCCATGAACGCCGTATGAGTTCAGGCGAACACCATGGAAGGAGCCCGATTCGAACTTTTGGCACCGCACGCGTATCAGAAATTAAGTATCATTAGCCCGTTGTATCCACAACCTGGAAAAATGGGCCACTGCGAGTCAGGTGCCGCAAGCACCTCCCATTTGATAGATTAGCTTGGTCCTCCACTATGAACGTTCCTTGTACGCTTGAAGTGCTGAAGCCTCACAGCTTGGGCTTTGGGATCATTGTAGCGCACACATAAGAATCTCACCCTGGTACTTAGGAAGAAAAAGATTTTTTTTTTTTGGACTCGATGCAGTTGCTGCCAATTTACTTTTCTTTAGTACAGAAAGAACTGACAAGAGTAACTCTAATATTCACCCTGTCGGTGGGCTCCAGATAGGAAGGCATTATCTCATCCTTGACGCTTATTGTAAGTAACAACGAAAAGGCGCAGCGCCTTCGACGTCCTCAATAGGTAAGACTGCTAAATGATATGCGCTGGACGACCTTTTCTTGATTACAAGACGCCTTCAGCTCTTGCGTAAGGCTTCAAACATGCGAAAATGGAGGTGCAGGGCAGCTTTGCTTTGGACGGCTAGACTAGTCAAGGTCTGAGCTTTTCTTTTACACCTTGGACAGAGAAGAAAAGGAGGATAGTAAAGCTCTGGAACCAGAGGGAACGGTAACACTCTGAACTGGGCAGTGTCGCCTTCCCTATCATTGTGATGACATAATGAGTCGCACGATTGGCTGGCAAATCTATCCGAACAACCGATTATCTATATATAGAAACTCTATTTTTTCAGTGTTAACCAACAGCCGTTTCGTAACGTAATCGGTAAGGGTCCTGCGCAGCTTGTATTCCATATAAATCAGCCCTTTTTACTACTCAAATATCTCAGCAACCTGGGATACTAAGAGTACAATAATTAATATATAATATAGTATAGAGTAAATAAGGCTATTTATAATTTTTCCATTTTTTTTCTTTCAACCTTTACCCTATATAGTGGAAATATGAAAAATACAGGTCTAATATTCAATACTAAAAGAAGTATTGTTTTAAATAAATCTTCTCTACTTTATATATTAAAGACTAGATACTATTATATACTCTTTTTTATTTTTGGATTATTGTAGCTTGTACTAGCTGAGATATTCAAGTGGTAAAAAAGGCTGATTTATATGGAATACAGAGCTGCGCAGGGTCTTTACCGATTACGTTAACTACTCCGTGTCTCAATTATGTCATTCTTAATGAAGTTTAACTTACCCGTGAAGGGGCCCACCGACGAAATGAAATGGGGGGCAGGGACTTTGCCCTACTAGATAGATTATCTACTTCATCGCTACAATTCTTAGAGCCTTAGGTTATCTTGGCATTCTAGTGATAGAAGGTAGAAGCAGTAGCTGTTGTGTAGGCAATAATGGATTGCAAAAGCTATTAGAGCACAAATTAGAGGTATTTATATTTCAACCTGAAACATCGTTCTGTATTTTTTGCGGTCTTATATTTCTGAAACCGCTTCAAACTGCTAGCAGCCGAGCCAGGGAGAATAGTTCCCAACACACCAGTCACGAAACATCAAACACAGAACCTCGAAGTCCCAGAAGCGACGCCAAAGATTTGGAATATTAGAGAAACTTTTTTCGAGTAGTTTTTGGACTTCCTCTCTTGTTTTTTCTTTCGGCCGATTAATATTGTCGCAATTGAAACTACTCAGAGAGTTGCCATTGAGAACTGGTAATCCGAGAGTCATGTAATATCCAATGAACATAAATGTTGACAAAATGACGAGGGTACTTGGCGGCCTTCCATATGTTATCATTGTCTGCCAGGAATTCATTCCAGTGCTTCTTCTTTTGTTGCCGGATAGCATCGTGATATTGCTTCCCTGCGCTTTTGGCTCTCTCTTCCAGATTTGCTACGTTTCGTCCCGCCCGTCGCTCTGAGCGGGCGTGATTTCTCTAGTATGTGTATATATGACGGAGTTGTGTCAAGTCTGTTGTCCACCATCGCTTTGCGTATGGTGACGGTTTGGCCTTTGGTGTTAAGGTATGAACTGCTTCCAGCACCGCTGACATTAGTCGGTCGGTTCTCTGCTGCACTGTGCCTTCTGACGGTGTGGCGTCTAGCGTTCTTGCGATTCTGGCATTGATCTCCTTCCATGGTGCATTTTTGAGCAGAAGTCGCTCCGGATGTTTTGAAATCGGCCTCGAAGCTTCAAACACGGCCTCAATTGTGTGGTGGTCAGAGCCGTGCTTAGTCCCATAAAGCAATGGGAATAAGAATGGAAGACCTCCAAGAAAGGTGGTCACCTCCGCCAGATTGATAAAGCACTACCCTCAATCCACGCTCGACGGCTATACGGCTCGCTCCGACGGAACCGAGCCTATCTACTTATACAACTGAGAACCAGCCACTCGTGGCTAGCGCCATACCGTAAACTACGCCATTTCCAAGAAGACGATATATGCGTATGCGGGGCCAAAGAAACGGTAACCCATGTGCTAGTCGACTACCCAAAGCTGCGACAACATCGCCAGGAACTACGGAAGAAGATCAGAGTTTCATTTAACAATGTCTCAATAATGTTGGGAGGAATCCAACAAGGTAAGCTAGGCCAACCTACGCAAGATACTAACATTATAAATGCGGTATTGGATTTTGTGGAGGCGTCTCAGAGATTTCGAAGTCGCGCGCCACGAGGGTCGCAGAACAGAACCCCAGGCAATGGCCAACACAGGCCTTGACGAGGCTCCAAGTTCGTCAGGAAAGTAATTGTTTACTGTGAATAGAAAAGATAGATAGATAACTATAGTTGGATCCTGCATATCGCCGTAGTTGTTGGATCCCAAGATCACGTGACTATATGATACACTATATGTGAAGTAGTAGGCTACCAGAGGTAGCCTAGAAGGCAGCTACTTTGGCTATAAATAGCCATACCTGCTCACATAGTTAGTTTGATTATCATCACACTTGTACCTCAATTCAGGGTTACAACTGTAGGCGAGGGGTCAGCGTATGAATACACACACACACGCCTGTACGGTGAGACGAGTGATCATTTGAGATAAGTATTAGTATGCTCTTATTTTAACCAACATGGTTTTGGATACTTTGTGACCACGTGACACTGGGGGAGGTTAAGTTGGTTAACCTCGAATAACACGTGACTGAGGGATGTTTAGGGCTTGGCTGTCTCTCTGCATAGGGCATTAAAAAAAAGCTGTTATTTGGCCACCCGAAAGACCTTGGAGGTGAAAACACCCGACATGAGATTGTTATAGTAGTGTGACTTTCCTACGTTCTGGCTTTGGGTTACAACAAACGAGAAGTTCACGGAGAGAGACATGCAAGACAGCCAGCGTCGACGGGGTCACACCGTATCTGCCATGCTGAGTAAATAAACGGTTACCGAATTAATCTGTAGCCCAAAAGATCTCCGTGTGCCTGGCCCGCCTAAGAGCAACATAGCACATCCCTTGCAAGGCAACTTTGGTTCCTGTAACTACCCCAACAAATAGCTCAGCCCCTTGCGCGACTACCAGAAGTCGATGCTGCTGATGATACCAATCAACCTGCGTCCTTTGCATCGCTTGCTTTTCTCAAGTTTACATATTTTCTAGGCCATACGCTTTTACACATCCGGTGATAGAGTCCATTAGAGGATCTGGAAACGCGGGGAAGCCGTTCGGCATCTGGTTACAAGTCAGCGGTTAAATCAGCCTAACACACCAATCATACGCTTTGCGTAAATGCCATGCCATGATACCCGAGGACATACCAGGAACAATTTTGATCCACTTATCAACTGCCAGTATCGGCTCAATTTTTGGCACTGCCTTTTTACTTGACTTTACACGGCCTAAGCAAAATTCAACCCACCCACCCCTCTTTCCTTTAATTGTCAGTGGCTATAACATATACCAAAGAATACAGGGATCTTAAACTATGCCTAGAATAGTTTAGCAGAAGGAAGAAAAAAATAACGGAGACACATGTTCACTCTTTGCTGATTAAGGCATCCCATGAATAAATGGCTCTCTTAAAGTTGTTTATTGTGTCTTTATTCTCTAGTATACAGTTATACCTGTCTGGTTATGTTTAGCTTCGGTGAGTTCTCCAGCATTTCAGGTGCTTCTCGCGTTCTGCGTGTTCGGGGACCTTTCCAGAAGCCGGCACAATAGGATCTACTTCAGCAAATCGAAAGTACACTAAACTTCCAGTAAGGGTATTACTGTGCTTCGAGGCAAGGATCTCCAAATGTTGTCTAAGGTTATGTAACGTATAAGGAATCCTGTTACAAAACCTTTTCACCACCAGATAGAAGTAAGAGTATTGGACTGAGTTGCCGGGGGGTGATCGGCTTGGGTATCCACTAACTTGGAAATAAACACATGCTTAACTACCAACCACTCATTTAAATACACATATAAACGAAGTCCATTTTTACCAAAAGAAAAGACGCCCGAGTTTATAGGAAAAGGACACTGATAAGCAGCTTGTTTCCTCAAATCACCTTTCTTTGACAGGTATCTTCCATTTCAGGGTAAGGGACTGGAATCTTCCAGTTGTAGGGCTCCACATAAAAACCACAATAACCAGAGGCACATTCAAAATATTGTACGCTTCTCTTATGGGGACCGGCGCTTGATAGTCGACTTGGGTGACCACATCGACAGATGGGATTTTGGTCATGCATGCCTTCTTTGTCAGCCCAGCTATGGAAGAGTCCACAGTGAGAGCATTTCAAATATAGTCGTCCAGCATTTCTTTCATTCCATGGTTTGACGCTGGTTAAAACTGTCGGGTTTCGGCATTTCTTACACAACCTAGTCTCAATGGATGAATGCGGCAGTAAGTCATCTCGTTTTGGAGTTGCAAATTTATGACCATGGCTGGTCATGGTCAAATAGTGGCTCGTTCCACGGTACGGGTTATATTGCGCCGGACTGGCGAGGTACTCATAGCTGTCATGGGCCCGTATGCTGACTAATCGAAGTTAACATAGAAATTTTAAGAGCACAACAGGTACCCACCATTTGACGGACTCATAGACGTCGGTGATCGATCATGGCGGCCTCTCAAATGGCCCAAGAGGGGTTTTATGATCCTTCTGAGCCCCATTATATAACTAATCCGTATTTGAGATTTAACACAGGACTTATCTCTGTGTTTTGGAAATAGATAGAATATACGACGGAGTACACATTAATCTCTGCTAAATATACCTTTATCGAGCCTCATGGTCAGGGGCTTTTCTTGTCGCAGAGCCTCAGCCTTGGGATGTAATCGTGTAATCCCAACCCGCCTCCACAGGCTGACAAGAGCAACTAGCGGTCTGACTTCTCTAGGGGCCTTGTGACCATTTTTTCTGACGCACCCATCCAACACAAATTGTTATCGTTGAAGTTTTCCCGAGTATGTTGAGTGCTCTATTAACTTTTCTTTTGAAGAAATTCGCAGACATTATAAGAATAGTAAAGACTGGAATAAAGCACAAGGCTTCTGGGACACCCTATCATAAACCATAAGCAGGGATGGCTGGACTTCATATACAACATACGATCAAGCTATTTCCATTTATTCTTTGATCTAGGCAAAAACAATCCCTCACACAAGCCACGATGTATAGTCTGGAGTAAGTTTATTCTGTGCGGAGATTGCTCCAGAAAACAATTTTAGTTTCAATCAATCAATGAGATTTGCATATAACGTAAAAAGGACTGTCAAAGTATGCCTGTCGGGACTGAGGTGGCCTCCGTTTCCGAGATACCCGCTGCGGAAGCTATCGAATCCTCCCACGAGAGATGTTTCCGGCAGACCAGGATCTTACACGAGATAGATCCAACCATTTATGCACATGAAAGGGCTCTTCTCCACTCAGATATCTTAAAGCTACTGGGAGCTTGGATGGGGTTGAAGGGAAGGCAGTAGTATCGAATCTAATGACGATATGTTTGATGTAGCGCCCACGAGGGCGTGCTCTTATCTCTATCGGTTGTCTTCAATATAATCCACGTCTCCAGTCTCTCACCAAAAAGCGCATTTGGCTTGGAAAAATGCTCTTTTTAGCATTGCCCGCTCAAAATCAATATCACCCGTCCATTTCCTTGACAATGGCCCTTCTATCCGCACCAGGCCTGGGATTTATTCCATTATTTCATCATCTAAGCTGTGATGCATTGGTGGCAATCTTGTGTCTGGGGTTTTCTGACTGGAAGTTTGTCTCCCATACACAATGGTTAATGGGCTTCATGAATTGTTGGCGCCGCACTTATGGGGCTTGCAGGACAGACTATTGGACCGCAGCGTTCTTGGTGAAGCCAAAGTGGGTCACTGGCTGTGGGCATACTTCATTGTGAGGCAGACTTCGCCGCCCCTAAGCCAGATCCGTGGATTAGAGTATCATGCGTGTTACCCCATAAATAATAATCATTTGGGTGCTAGCCATCCCGTAATTGGCTATCGTCATCCTATGATATTCCGTCTTGTGTGTCTGCCTTCGATAAGGTACGCTGGACAATGGGTCTGTAACAACTATTCTCTATGGAAAACAGAGGTGTACAGCTGGCTTGCATGTACGGCTCGCTCACCGATTACGTTTGCGTCATTTCTGTTACATTAGCTAGTCGCGGCTAGTGAAGATTTACCCAGTCCAGGTCTCTTCTTATTGGACAGAAGGTCCAACTGTCTTAGCCTTACAAGACCACCATGTCACTGTCATATTGCTCATTTTTCCGTAGTAACCATGATACCCGATACAGCACTCTCAAATTTAGAATTGGTCTCTATACACCGGTCATCGAGCTCAAACGAATTCTCTCTTCCATGACCCTGGTACTCTAAAACAGGTACAATACTGTAGCGGAGGAGCAGATAAGGCGACATAATAATAATGGCAATAGTGATAATAGTACAAAAAGAGGAGCGAGTGGGAATGCAAGTCGGAAAATGGGCGCAGAAGCGGGCACAGAGACAGAGGTGAAGGCGGGGCTGGAAGGTGCATGAGACAATAATCTCTGTTAGTCCCAGGAAATCCAATAGCGAGACAACACAGCAAGTAAGGGTGACTTGCACAGACTAGTGTGTAGAACAGTGTAAAATCATACCAGCCAATATGTCGCAAGCGATTCATTGCTAATGGAGACATTTTCAGTTCGTCATGTCGTGACCACTAACGAATCTCTTGCCATCCGAACCAATATCTTTCACAGTGCTCCTCGGCGCTTTATACAGCACCAGAAAGGATTCTAATACACGGTAATCTCATTGATTCACAAAGGATTTTATCAACACGATCAGAAGCTCCAATTGCCAAGGCCAATTAGAAGCTTTAGTCTGACTACCACGCAAAGGCGGGACCCACAAATAGATGGATGCTGCAAGAGCAAAAAGAACAGAGAAAGAGATGGCCTTTCTCGTCAGATATTGATATGGCGTAGATGGTGTGGCCTCATGCCGTATCGTATTTTTGTCGATATTCTTAGGGTGCCTGATATCTAAGCCTTGCTTGGGTTTTACCAAATATTGCAAACAACCTATCAAGCGATATCCCCCAGGCACTTAGCCATTGCCTTATTATTTACACGGGCCAATAATAACAGGTCAATAATCAGTAATTTATCAATTTTCCTGAGTGGGGTAAGAGGGGGGAGAGATACTCTTGTGGTAACACGACGATTCAGGTGGGGTAGGGGGAAAGAGGTACATATATCTACGTCTTCATCAGGTAGGTCAATAATTGTCTGATCAAAACCGTAGACCGCGAGTAATTTTCTGACATTTAACTAGAGTTCAAATTTCCTGGCTCGATGCCTCAAACTTCTGATCCTGCCATAGTCTGTGCTGAAAACATAGCCACGTTGTCTTTATTTCATAGTATCCCCGTTCCACCAATATCCAACAAAGTTGGCCTTGCACCACCCGATAACGAGCAATACTCCTTATCTTTTGACCAAGAGCGTAAGCTAGCCGGGACACTGGCATTCCTTGCGCATATCAAGGATGATGCTGAACACATTCCCGCCGTGTGTATTGAGGAAGACTTGGACTCATTTGCCTTAAACGTGATTCTGGCTGTTAACAAGGCTAAAGCCCATGATGGAGACGATGTGATTCATCGTGTCCAACAAGGGTTTGAGGGTATTTTCAAAGTCCTTGCGAGAATTTCTGGCGGTAAGTGACCAATAATTGTCTCTTTCGGACGCTGACAATACCAGAATCAGATGAGTCACTCAATATTAAAGACCAGATTCTTTCCATGATCGTCTCAATGTGTTCATGTCGCATCCTCTCCCGCCTGCGACTAAGCCCTACAGGAAGGAAACCGCTGAAACGATCAATCAAGGATATTCTTAACGAAGCAGCGATGGCCTTTACGAGGATTGATCGGCGTAAACTGGAAGATAGAAATCTCCTAATAAGCATGGAACTATTGACATCCAAAGTCAAGGAAGCTAGAAAACTTGCCGACTCATGGTCTCGATATCAGGTCACCCCACGGCTAGTAGATCTTGTGTATGGCATCTATCAAATATACCAGGTCGAACAGCTTCCGGTAATAGTCAACCTTATACCGAATCGCGATATGAGTCCCAGTGCAAGAGAAAATTTTCTGAATATCGTTGGTAAAGTCTATCAATATCGAAATGCCGCAAGATTCTTGTATCGGACTGCGAAAGCGTTTCCATTGGCTCGAAAAATGAGGACGGTACCTGTTCACCTATCGCAGGACGCATTTAGTACGCCTTCACTTGACGGATACACACCAGACTTGTTGTCCAAAGTTGTAGAGGGAAGCCCCAAGGGCAAACAGCCGAAGATTTTTAAAGAAATATGCCGCGCTCTGGACTTGGGTGAGCAAAGGGCAACTGACCAGTTCTCCCGTCAAGTTAAAAAGAGTTTAAAAGAGGCGAAGATCCATGCCGAGGTTCAAATCATCACATATTGCGAACTGCGATCGCCAGCGTCACTTCCGCGAGTGATCTGCTCGAGCAAAGACGCTTGCTTTCTTTGCAACTTGTTCATCCAGGTATACAAGAAGATATATACACCCCGGTCTCATGGACGGCTATATCCTGGATGGCGGTTACCTCGGGTACCACAGCTTAGAGAACTAGAGCAACGATTTTGCCAATCACTAGAGGATATATTTAGAGAGAGCCGCACTGCGCTTCTGTCGACTGGCCGGAAAACCCTCTATCCATGCCCTAATGAAAGTACCCTCTTTACACTCGGTGTGTCTGGGACAACAGTAGACATCACGCCGTCGAAATTAAACCAAACAGCACAACTTGGTCTGGCAATGCACAGGCGGGCGACCGTTCCACTGAATTTAAGCCACTGTGATGCTCACAGTACGGATAAGTTTGTGAAGCCAGAAGTCAGCGACTCGGATTCTACTTTATCTCGTCCGCGGTATCTCTGCCCAGAGCAGCAAAAAGCCGGGTCTAGGAGTGATGTAGCATTACTTCAAGGCTCAAAAAAGCTAGATTCCATCGGTCCCGAAGAAACATCAGAGTTTTACTGTGCAGGCTCTTTGGAGATGCAAGTTGAGTGCATCGCAGATTTAGCAAGTTTTAAATACTCCATTGAGTGGCTCAACCACGAAGAAGCTATAAAGACTCGAGAAAAAGGTGTTTCATTACCACTCATTGATGCAGAACACATTGAGGGAGAAGTCACTCTATGTCATAGTAATATATTATACATCAGCAGCAGGGATACAGTTTTGAAGATCTGTTGGAGTTGAGAAGAGGAATAACTATTTCCATCTGAACCCGGTGACAATGGGGAACGTCGCATCCCAGCTTTGGCAAGAGTTTGCCGGGCGGTCTAGAGCACTTACTAGTTTAGTTGTCTTTGACCCATGGATCACTTACAGTTCAGACATATAATTTGCAACAGAGAATATATTGTAGAGAGAAGTGACTCGGACCATCGTCCCACAACACTTTACTGATAGAGACAAGTGGGGGGGAGGAAACTTAGAGAGTAGAGCATGAAATGCACACTCACTCCTGGAACGACTTTACCTGATCACTTGTGCAGCGTTTCCGCCCTGAAATTCTCTAGATGTTTGGACTATGCCCGGTGCAATCTGCTGTAAAAACTAATTTTCCTAAATCACCTTATCCGAATAAGCAGTCTCAGTGACACCACTCTTTCGCATCTGAACATCCGAGGGTAGTGTATTGTGTCCCAACCTCCTTTTTGCTTTCTTATACTTTCCAGAAATTCCACGATTCCGGCTCTCCCACTCCACAAGCTCGTCTCTAGCTCTTTGTAATTGACTTTCTTTTTCTTGATAATTAGCCTCCAACTCATTGACCTTAATTTGAAGCTCATCAATTTGCTCCTCCAAAGGCTAGGCTCCAGTTTCGCTCGCTGTAAGCCGCCTGACTAGTTTGTGTGACAAATCTGTCAAAAATTCTCCTCCTTCCTCTAAAAGCTTCGTGAGATTTTCATTTGCCAGTTTAGTATACTTCAGTGCGACATATTGAGATAACAGTTTCCGAGCTGGATTATCCTGTAGCTGTGCGCTAGGGGTTGATTCGTAGACGACGCGGATAGCATCTGCCAGGTACGGAAATAGTGAATTTTATGTGCATCGACGATAAGGAGAACTTGTGTTAGGCGTTGCAGCACAAAGCTCTCAAGGTCGGGGATGAGAAAACGATGTGCAAAACAATACACTTTCGCATGGAGCAGGATATCGGCGGCAGGATTAATTTCAGAGTTTTGAAGTTTTCTTTCAGTTATACGGCCCGCAGCAGCCTGGGAAGCCTCTGCTGGTAAACCAACTCGGAGGCACCGGCTCAGGGGAGTTAAAGGCCTGTTGAACGTTGGTTTATCTGCAGATCCAGTATTAGAGGCGGGCGATTCTGCACCGACGGATATGGGTTCGAAGCTGATGTTGACTATGGATTAGATTAGCCGACCACCTCCTTTACAAATTTGCCTTGCCTACCTTTGGTATCATCCGTGTTCAAATATATGTCGTGCTGGTCAATCGCTGAGTCTTCTACACAATAGTCTTGTGTGTAAAAGTAGCTTAAAACACATTCGATTGTTTGCTCATCAAAATCAGTCCAGTCGATGGGCCCGCTGGCCCCGTTCTCCATCCATGGCCCACTAACTCGAGCATTCAACGCTGACGTGTTGCACCACGACAAGGCTGCAGGGTGCACAAAGTATGACCTCTCACCACTTCCTACAATGATCTGGATTGGGTGCCCCCTAAATATTCTTATCTACTTCAGCTACCTGTACGGTTTCGGTGAAAAAGATTTACCTTGCATACTCATGGGCCCTTGGACGTGCCACCATCTTCAACAGGGGAATAAAAACGTGGTTGGAAGACTGATCGAGAAAGTGGAGAGTAGCGTCAAAGAAATGAAGAGGGTGCTAAATGAAAGAAACACAGGAACAAATACCTGATCAGGTTTTCCCTCTAGCAGTGAATACATTCTAGCACACAATGCCGCAAATCTGCAGGGTATATTTACCCCGTCCTAAGAGGAAAGCAAGGGTGCCCAACCATGCCAGGATTGTTGGCAGATAAAGGGTGCGAGAAGTGTACCATAGAGTGTAGCCTGCCAAATTTTTTCTTTTGGTTTTCTTTTTTTTAAATGAATAAAGACATTTAGTGGTATAGACTTGGCTGGATGCTTCGCCGAATAAGATCGGCACTACGCGTAGAAGGCTCCATTCTAGGGTCGTCAGAGTAGGCTCCCAGGAGTGACTGAACGGCTTCCAGAATCAATGAGCCTCTTGGAAAAAGCGCTCGTGAACTTGTGGGTTTGGCGAGGCTGCAAGGTACTAATGTCGCTTTTCTTCTCAAAGCCCGAACCTTCACATGTACAGCGCGCTCAACAGAATCAGCAAAACCTAAAAACTAAACAAAGCGCTCCTACCCAGACAGTCATGGCGATTCTATTGGCCTCTGATGTCTAATTTGAAGTGGAACATCGTACAGATTCCACTGCACTCGCTTATCATCTATCCATTCATGCATCGTCTCTACGTGTCTTAACACTTGGGTATTGTTACGAAGCCTCTAGCTGCCACTGTCATTTCAAAAATTCCAACACTGTTATTAACGCAGGAACCGATAAACTAAATCAGAATGTCGATGGTGTTATTGAAGCAGGTCGTCACCACATTCGATCGCCAGGACCAAGGATCCGAGGATCAACATTTTCAAGTCCCTGAGAGAGCGATGCTGCAATATGGTCTATTCCTGAAGACTCAGAACTACAGGCAATGGCCAGGTTACCTCCGACTACGTTATGTGGACGCGCCCGAGTCGATCTCACGTTCACTGTGCGACTTGGACGATTCTGCCGATTCGCCGAGGATTTGCGGCTTTGGTGACGTTTTTCGGTCGATGGTGTGCCATTCTCCTTACGAGACATGGTGTAATATCGCAGCTGGATGGCTCCCGGTGTCCTTCCGGGAAAGAGCTGGAAGATGTGCCCCCACGGCAGTCCTTGGCAGTCCCTCAACTCTAACAATCTCTTATCATCTTCGACGGCCCATTTGCCCCGCTTAGACTCCTGGCGGGGTCGCACTATTGATGGTTTTAATTTCAATAGATCTGTAGCCGTAGTCCGAGTCGCGATCACACCGTAAGCATGCTGCAGCTTGCTCATTGCTTGCTGCAGCACGGCGAGATCATGACGAACAGGGTCATCCTCCCCGAGGCTTTCTACGGGACCATTGTTATCCTTAACCATGCTGTAAAAGCGCTGTATGTAACGGACGGAGTTTTGAAGTACGTCCATACCGTCTGACGGTGTGGAGAGTTTCGGATGAGAGGCTTTCTGCGGTGGTGTGCCGGTGGATGTGGGGTGATTACGGCGTCGTCGCTTCGGAGACTGATGGGTTGAACTATCTGCAGACCGCTTCCTTGGTCTCAGCACGCGGTCCGTATCATTGTTTCTGTCATTTTCATTTCCATCATCGTCATCGCCAAACACATCGAAGACTCTGCCAGTACCAGGGCCTTCCAGTCCCGTAACCGAGGGGGTACCGTTCGAGCGCGAAGTAGCATAGAGAGCAACGTCTTCAGGGTAATCGGTAGGCTCGTCGGGCTGGAAAGCTGAAAGATGTTAGGGCTAGTTAGAATGCTATGAGAGGCAACTCACCCCAGTCGCCTTTTTCTAGTTGCGTTGTGCCCTCCAAACCTAGGCCAGAGTCTTCGGACTGATATACAGCTTCGTGATTATTGACCTGCGCTGCAACAGCAACGCCCTGACTTGTTGATGGAGACTGGCCTCCTGTACCTCTGGCACATTCCCTTGTGTTTCGCATAGCTGGACTTGGCTCCCAGAACTTTTGAAACTCCAGATTCACCATTGCTGCAAATTTGCCGAATTGTGTTAGAAGAAAATTGTAGCAGCGAAGACTGAGCAAGAAATGTGTATTGAGCGAGGGAAACGCAGCTATTTAACATTAATGCGAGCAGACGGGGAAATTCTTTCGCTCCGATACGAGCGGTGATAACACAAACGTCGGCTGTTCCCAACCAGTCATCAAGTATAACCCCACTGGCAATGTATCGAATGAAAGGGTTTCTTTTAGCCTGCGGGGACATCACTCCCGACGTGTATACTATGCTAAACGGCGATATCCACGACCCAACTGCATAACTGCTTAGCCGAATCGGGGTCCATCACGACTATGCGACTGGTGCAGCCGGATCGATCGACATCCGTTTAAAACAGCCAGGACATGATCATGACTATTGGGGCACTGCCTAAGTCAACAAATGATCGGTAGACCATGCTTGTAGACCCTTGCTTTCTCTCTCCCTTTTCTTTTGAAAAAGGGAGATGTCAAAAAAAAAGTTATGACATCTCCCATACCAGATCCGTCAACAAAAGTCGATAATCTCAGAAGTCTAGGCACACGCGTGATGGATGGTTCCGTGAGATCACCAGTCGAGCGCGGCAATGCCGAGGTTAAACCGCGGATTGGTCACCAGAGGAGGCTGGGTAGTGGGAATTCAAAATTGGCAACTTTGTTCGTGGATCCAGGCCTGGACTGTTATGAAAGCGGCGTAGAAGCGGTAGGAATGGGACGGATTGCGCGAGAAACCACGAAAAGTTGCATAGTAGGTGGGGGTAAGTTAGTGGACGGACAAATGGTGACTCGTACAGACAACCATGGTGACATCGCCTCTCGAGGCCGCGTCATTTCTGGCGTCATCGGTCTGCGTGAACGGGGCAGTGCTAGGCAGCAGCGCGGTTAGCCACGGCGTGAGCGAGCCCGCAGGAGAGTCGAAATGGGTGGTTTTGGGAGGGAAAGAGTGTTGAACAGGTCAGGGGAGGGAGCGAGATTCTTATAGAAAGCTCAAAAGCGGCGAGCGGGACTGAGCGGTGGGGTGATTGGCTCAGGGTGCTCCGGGCTCACTCCGGGAGCGCGTCTGACCCGATCCGGCCTGCTCTGGGCTCACTCCGGGAGGGCGCCTGACCCGATCGGGCAGTGTTACCGTCAACGAGATTACATAGGCAACTTATAGTACCATGTATTTTGACGCATTTTTTCCCACCATGTTAATGTAGACAGTAGAGAACATAAAATCTCAAACTAGATCAAGTAAGACTGTAATTGATCATATATGGAAGGTCAACTAGAATAATCACGATATGGTTGAAATCCCTTGCCTTAAAAACTGTAGTTTTATACGGGATACTGGACTCGCAACTCGCTGGTATCCGCAACTTGGTGGTTGAAAACGTAAGTTATAGGTTGCCCCCCAGAGTGGCCTGCTTGTGGATACTTTCCATCAACTCTGTTTGGTTGAGCGGTTTGGGGAGATAGTCGTCCATTCCTGTTGCAATGCACCTTTCCCGGTCGCCGAGCATCGCATGAGCCGTGAGAGCGATGATAGGAGTGTGGCGTAGACCGTGGGCTCTCTCGTACTCGCGAATTTGGACCGTCGACTCCAATCCGTCCATGACAGGCATTTTAACATCCATTAAGATTACATCGTACTGTTGGTGCCGAAACTCATCCAGGGCCTCTTGACCATTTCCAGCTACAGTCACATGATGATGGTACTTTTCTATCATCTTAAGCGCTACCTGCTGGTTTACCTCGTTGTCTTCAGCGAGCAGAATGAACAAAGGATGAGAGTTTCCTGAGTGATTGCGTAAAGGTCGGCTTTCTAGAGCAGGGAGGATTCCGTTAACTAAATCAATTGGGCAGCAGGGAGTTGTCACATAGGATATTATGCCTAAATGTAGTGCGGACTCCATATCGACTGACACCACAGGACAGACCAGAACAACAGGGAGAGACTTGATTGTATCCAAGCCCCTCAGGTGAGAAACAGATTCTATAGTCTGCACCATCAAGACGTCATATTGCCGATGTGGAATTGTGATGGGCGGAACCAGAGTTCCTGGTTGAGAGGTACAGTCTTGAATATTCACAATATCAGTGTCAAGACCAAACTCCTGTAGAACCAGCTTGATGTGCTCTGAATCGCCACAGGTATATTTATCAGGTTCTTCGACGAACAGCACTCGACAGCTCTTATATGGTGTAAGCTCCTTGGCAATGTCCTTGATAGATCGATCCAACAATCGAAATACGCATGTGAAGTGGAAATTGCTCCCGACACCCATGGTGGACGTGACGTATATGTCTCCTCCCATCAATTTGACCAACTTCTTGGATATTGATAAGCCCAGTCCGGTGCCGCCAAATCGTCTCGACATAGAGCCATCCGCTTGTTGAAAGGTATCGAAAATCGATTCTAATTTGCTCTTTTCTATGCCGATACCTGTATCCGAAACGCAAAACTCGAGTGAACATTTGCCTGGAGGACAAGCTGTTGAGTGTGTCTCATTGACAGTAAGCACAACCTCTCCAGTCTCAGTGAATTTGATTGCATTTCGAATTAGATTTAGAATAACCTGCCGCAGGCGAAACGCGTCCCCAATCACATAATCACACACTGAGTGGTTGGTATGGTATATGAGGCGAAGGCTTCTTTCACTACACGCAGCCACAAGAGTTTTCAGGGCTTTAAATATAGCTTGCCCCAGGCTAAATGGAACAGCCTCGATCTCCATGTGATTTGCTTCGATTTTAGAGACATCGAGGATATCATCAATGATCACTAAGAGACTGTTTCCTAGGTTGCGAACCACATTTAGCATGTTTCGGGTGTGCGGAGCCAGATCATCTGTATCAAGAGTAAGTTGAGTCATGCCAATAATGCCGTTCATGGGTGTTCGTATCTCATGACTCATATTCGCAAGGAAATCCGACTTGCTCTTGTTTGCCAGCTCAGCAGCCTCCATAGCCGCAATATTGTGCTGGATTCTATCACGCAAGTCGGAGGTCATCTTGTTTATTTTTTGCTTCAGCTCGTCCATCCCGCCAGAGGCGCTCACTTTAATTATTTTACTAAAGTCACCATCAGTGGCGGCATTAGTGATTTGGCCAAAGGCCCGAACTTGTGAGGTCAAGTTGTCCGCCATCATATTGACGTTGGCAGTAAGTTCATTCCATATTCCTTGAGACCCATATATACGGGCCTGTCCGCCAAGAACCCCTCTAATTCCGACATCACGGGAGACCTGGCTCAGTTCAGTGACAATTGTACGGATTTGGTCTACCGTAGTATTGATGGTGTCCTGCAGTTGAAATATTTCACCTTTTGCGGGCCCTTTGATCTTTTGACACAAATCACCGTGTGCCACTGCTGTCGTGACCGCAGTAATTTCCCGAATTTGGTTTGTCAAATTCAATACCATGGAGTTGATATTCTCAGTAATCTTCTTCCATACGCCGTGCATTCCGGGAACTTGTGCTGGGACACCAAGAAGGCCCTCCGTTCCTACCTCCAATGCAACCCTGGACACCTCATAAGCCAAAGCTCGCAGTTGATCTATCATGACATTACTCGTGATCTTAGAAGTGATGATGTCTGTGTCCATTTCCAACCGATCAATTGAAAGCTTTGTTGAGAGATTCCCATTAGCAATTTGTCTAATAAATTTTGTGATATCCTGTAGTGCTGTCCGAAGCGCTTTGTTCATCTGACGATGCTTCTGCAGTTCTGCCACAAGATGACCATTCTTGCCCCCCGCACGATGAAGAAGTATTTCGGAGAAAATACTTGAAACAACCTCTCGTGGAAGCTTTATTTCCTGATTTTGCTCACCAAGCGCTCGTCTTATGTATGAACTATTATCATCGCGTGCAAACACATCTCCTGCACAACAGTTGATATGGTTACTATCCCAATCTTCATCCAGCCTAATCAACCAGTCAGTGTCGGAATATCACATCAAATTGATTTATTATCCAATTCATACCATTCAGATCCTCTTTTCATCGCAGGACACAGTCGACTGTTGAGCGGCCTGGTATACGGCCTGGTATACGGCACGGGCAGTACAGACTGGCAAGAATCACTCTCCAGTTCCGCGCAGGGTATCTGAGTTTCTAGAGTACTGAGTTGCAACAACTGAATGTGACGTATAAATCCTAGAAATTGCTTTTCGAAAGCCGTTTTCCCATCGCTTGGCTCCCCGGGAAAGTGAAAGAGTAGATCGTGGGCGGTGCCTGTTGATGCATCTGAGGGTTCAATGAATGAAGCAGTAGCATCGAGCCGAGACGGCAGAACATGTTCTAAATTGGCCGCTGCAGCCAAAAAGGCCTCCTCAACAGCAGACATTGTTAGGGAATGTTAAATCTCAGTGGCGAGAAAAGGGCCGACGGGGCATTGTTCGTGGCCAAACACTGCCCTGGTTACACATATCCTTCAACAATAAATATAGGATACATGTAACTTTTTAAGCGCTTCGCTTTGCTATGAGGCCCTTGTCTAGACAGAGGAATTTTCGAGTAACTACCTAAAATATTTGTTGAAGGTGGGAGTTACATGGGGAAGAATTTTTGGTAATAATATAATAGTTTGCTAGAGGTGCTGCATACTTGATAAACGGGGCTTCTTGTCTTATGGATGTCGATCAAAGTCACAAGGCATGGTTATTCGGATTTGACCTAAAAAGCGTCAGCTACGTGGTTTACCAAGGAAATGCAAAGGCGACAAAGGGGTGAGCCATAGAACTGGAGAAATCCGCTATGCGACTGGCTGTTCCAGACCGAACCTTGCCGTCGGACAACTGAACAGGTTAGCATAAACTCTCAATGATCTCATTCCGCCTCCGGCAAGAACTGCTTATTGTGTCTTTGTCAGAAGACCTTTAGCTTCGCTTTGTTGCCCTGCTCCGGTGGTTCTTCATCAGACCACTCCGCTCCAAATTTGTCGACCTAGTCGCCACATTTAACTAGAGAAGGCTAGATTGTGTTACAGAGATTCTCGTAATAAGCTTACAAGTACTCTAGCCGAGTTTCGCACTTTTCGCACTTTTTGAACAAGTACTGGAGATATTGTACTACTGCTAAGTTTCCTTTTCGAGGAGCATGGAGAATTGGATGCGGTAATGGAAACAAAGAAGAGAAGGTGTGGCTACAAAACATGCCGTCTTTCATATCAATTGTCAGAACCTATAGGGAGCCTAAGGCGGCAACCGGGTCACCTGACCACAACACCAGAGAATCTCTGTACGATAGATTACCAATTCCGAAACAACAGTGGGTGATTCTGATACAAAAGCATCCACGGGTGCTTCGCCTGTTCGCAGACGAACCCAAAGGAAGGCATAACGTCCTATATACCTTAGTGAAGACCAGGAACGCGATACACTAGGTGGCGGAGCGAAACGAGGCCAGAAAACAGACGCGTCTCGTACCTGCAACTGGACTTCGCCCTAGTCCGCGGGCGCCCCTCCGAGGGTGGCTGGCAGACCCGCAAAATGAGGGCGGGGGTCTGAGCCCGCCCTCTGAGGGTCCTCGAACAATTCCGACTCGCGAAATCGGAAAGTTTCTTGCGAAATATTAAAATTTCAATGTTTTCCATTTTAATTTCACCTCACGGTGTTCGATCCAAATTAGTCATCATACGTTTAAGCCAATCAAAACCTCAGAGTTGTATTTCTGGTATTTCTCGTGACGGTCTCGTCACAATGTATCATGTGATCTGCTGGCTTCCCCGCAACTCTTCATGTTCAATATTCTCGTGGTATGGCTGCCAAGGCGTTCGCTTCCTTTTCTTCATCTGCGCTCCCCCAGTTTTGGGGGGAAAGGATTAAGTTGGTTGTGTACGCGCCTCCTGGTGCTGTTTCTACGCGCAGCTTTTCTAGCTAAAACATTGGTCTAAATATAGTAGGCAAGATGATCTTCTACATTAATGCATGTTATCTTGTTTTTGCTCTTGGCCATATAGTACAGTGCACAGTCTCTCATATCTTACACTCTCGCTGACGAAGATGACCCTTCTGGTACGCCCAGATTATGTGGTAGTTGTCAATACTTCACGGTGAACAGTAAAGCTAAAGCCATTTTCACTTATCACTTATCTCTCTCTCTCTCTCTCTCTCTCTCTCTTATATTTCCCATTCCTTTTCTTAATACATGAGCTACGTATAAGCTAGTATGTGGTTACGGAACATGTGGCAAAAGTGTTGCTGTAAAAAGTAAAATGGTATACTTTGGTTCGGTAACTGAGTGTTACGCCCGGGTATTCGTCCAAGGACTCTGCGACCAGTTAGCTATCTTGGTTAGATGCGACTTACTTGGTGGCTAGAATCCACTAGTGACTGGTGACGGTAGGTGACCCAATATGGTCCGAACAATTCGATGGTACGGTAGTGACGATGCTGCTGCGAATAGTCCAAGCTAGAAAGGCCCGGCCAATTGAGTACGTATACTCAATTGTTAGATAGTGCGAACGAGTTGAGCTGGTAACGATACGAAAATGTTCCTGAATAGAATGTAGCTATCAAGTAACAATTTAGATTGATCACGAAGAACTAAACTAAGTACATAAACGAGTGTCCTTATATATCCTTCCCTGGAGTATCTTGGTATGCTGGGTGGTATACCGTTGGTATACACGTGGTATACGATATACCAAATTGTATACTTTCCGGTGATAATTGGTATACCATTCAGCTTGTCACGTGACTTGGCTAGTAATGGCTGTCAGTTAACTGTGTTGTCAGGTACTCCCTATAACCGTCCTTTGGTAATCCTGCGGCTGCTTTCAGCTCTTATCGTCCTGTGGTTTTCTGCCTTGTGTTCCCGCTTTCGATAAAGGTGCGCTAGACAAAGGGTCTGTAACACTGAGGTAAACAATTCGAAAGCGTTTGGTAGGAAACCCAATCTATTAGTTCACTATAGGTTTTTCACTCCAAATTCAGTTGCAGTATGAGATATACCATCCTTGCTAGAAGTAATGACCTCCATCGGGGCCTTTACATTTGTAAATTTAGCGGAGGAGCAAACAGGTTGTTTATCACCAACCGCCAACTCTGCCTTCGCCTGGCCTGTTTTGTTGGGCGGAATGACTAACCTGCCGCTCTAGTTCCGCGTTCAGTCGTATGACTCATGAGGTGCAAGATGCTATACGCTTGAGTTGGAAGATTTAAATTGAAGATCAATTCAGAATATGTATGTATAGTCAGTCTCCTGAGTGCGACTTTGACATAAGTATACTGTATTATCCTTAAATGGACTCCAGAATATTTGTCAGTGCTGTCGAGAAATAAGTAGTGTACATAGTGTAGAAGCATAGACAATTCCCAGCATACGCCATCAATCGTTCAGAATGAGTGGTAACCAACTAGAGACTGTAGTTCTACAACTGCAGTGGAAAGTCAAAAGACATCTGCATGCCATCCGTAGGCTAGTCGGTGTTTGGCAGCAAGTTACAAACTGTAGACCGCCAGCTGCATACCGGGATTTTGATTATTGAGCACTATTTTGACGACTTTAATGGTATAAGAAATAATCGACAAGTGCTTCGGCCTCCATAGTGGAATTATAAGGAGGATAAAGACTCTAAAATGCGAACGGTGGAACAAGAATCGAATGATCGGCTACTAAATTGCGACGAGTATGATGTTGTGCCTTGTAATGAATGGTAGAAACTATCTAGTGGGGCAACGAAATCACTCGCACGGACGCTAGGCTCAAGCTGGACGCCCCTCCCATCAATTCTTAAGGTACATGAAACTGTTAGAACGTTGATACCATTCCCTCTGCCTTAGTTCTCCCAGTCACCTAGATAGATTTTTGGGTCCGTCTCGGGTACCATCCAATAGACAAGCATCCATCGCTTCACAGAAACCATATGTCCATCCCGTATTTTACTTCATGTGTAAGGGCACCCATCTATGGTACGTAGCAGCTCCGATACCATTGTATCAAAAATTAGCTAATATCTCATTGTCGCAATACGGAGTTAATGGTATTCGTTATTTGGATTTGAGATGATGTAGAATCCGTTCTCCACTTAATGACACATCCAGAATCCAAAAGGGCCCCAATCCATATGACAGGATAAATAGGCCCGTATACAAATTTGCGGTTAACCTAGTTACATGTGTTTTGATCAAGGTGCTGATCACCATAACCAATAGAGCCGTTGTAATTTCCATGTAACGATCAGTACAATTATACATATGTCAGTCATGGCTCTAATGTGGTCGAGCATTAATGGTGTCCGTGCAGGTATGACAAAATGACAGCATGTATTTGAATCGAACCAGGTCAATCGGGAATGATTGACTAACTTATGAGAAAACTCTGTTGAATGCCATAATTTTTTCCTTGATTTGTGTTTCTAGCTCATGGCTTAAAATGCCGTCCTTTTCGATCCTGGAGAGCAGCTCAGGCTCAGAATACTTGAAATGGGCGAGCACGTTAGCTTCCCAGCGTTGGATCTGACTAACGGGAATTCCGTCGATAAGACCGTTGATCCCAGCATATAGCAAGGGCACCATTTCATTGACAGCCATCGGAGCGTACTGCTTTTGCTTCAGCAGCTCTGTCAGATGCTCACCACGTCTGAGAGTTTGCTTGGTGGCAGCATCAAGGTCTGATCCAAATTGAGAAAACGCAGCAATCTCGCGGTACTGTGCTAGGTAGAGCTTGAGTGAGCGAGCAACTTGTTTCATGGGCCCGAGTTGAGCTGCGGAGCCAACCCGAGAAACGGAAAGCCCAACATTAATAGCAGGCCGAATGCCCCTATAGAAGAGTTCGGGTTCTAAATATATCTGACCATCTGTGATCGAGATAACATTTGTAGGGATGTACGCTGACACATCGCCGCCTTGTGTCTCGATGATGGGAAGAGCAGTGAG